CATTCAAAGGGGAATAACATTCATCAATTGTAATAAATTGTAGGTTTAGAAAAATGACAAATATTCAAAGCAGTTTAAAAAAATGATAGAGTTTATTGTGCAATTATTATGGCCATGAATCCGATTACAAAAGGTTGAATTCGTAGAAAAATATGTAGTAGATTAATAAAATAATAATTTAGAGAAATAACAAAATTAACAACATAGTATATTATATTAAATAAAGAATAATATTAGATAAAGAAATAGACTTTCACGTAAAGTTTTAGGGAAAATAAAGAGGTCTCGCCCATGCAAAAAAAAAAAGGCAAGGGAGTAACGTTTATTTAATTAACAAATTTAATAGTTCAAAGAAAATTTCATATAGAACAGATAAAAAATTTGTAGATACAAAAAAAAGCGAAAGGAATAAAAAATTACCTATTAATTTATCGAAACAGTGAGTATGTGAAGAGAAAAAGTCACAAGGAATAAACTAAATTGCAAGAAGGTTAAATAAAATTCTAATCCTAAGAAATATTATCTCTTTTAATTTTAATTTATATAAAAAAACTTATTGGATTTTACTCCTTAAAAGAATATAGAAAATGTAATTATAATTTTTAACGAGACACTAAAATTAAATAAAACTTTTATAGATAGACTAAATAAAATTTGAATTAGCCCTTGATTATAAGAGATTTTTAATTGAGACAAGATTTTTAGTCCCAACTTACAATAAAGTCATTGGAATTTTGTGACACCCTTAGAATATTAGTTAAGAAATAAAAATTTTTTGTCACACAATTTCAAATGTACCACTAATATTTTTTTAATAATTTTTTATTTACTAATGAGTTATTATAAGGATAAAGCAGAAGCTACCATAGCAAGACCCAAATTTTATAGATACTTAAATAGAAGTAAAATAAGATAATCTTAATTTTAAGTTAATTTTAACATTCAAAAAATATTATTCATTTTGCTTCTTGAATTATTGTTTTTTATTCTTACAATTACTTATTGCAACTTTTAAACAAACCTCTTAATTTGTAATGAACTATCAGAGTGTTCTTCTTGGTTTACATGACATTGACTCTCTCATTTTGAATGCGAGTCCCTACCTTAACGTTATTTGGACGGCAACGATACTACACAATAAATATATATATATATATATATATATATATATATATATATATATATCTTATGCTTCCTTGAATCAAACAGACATCATGAAGCCTTTTTGTTTTCTTCAATGCTTTTTCTGTCTGGCTTTGCTTCTCATCCATCCTTCCGTTGCTCGGAGGTAATTATTAACTCTTCACTTTATTAACCATTGTTAACTGAAGAAACATTTTCAAAAACTTATAATGTTGTTAACAAGTGTCGCAACTGGACGGTCGCAACGGCACGATGAAAAAAATGTTTTTAAAAATATCAGAGGATCACCACCAAAATTTATTTTAAGAAAACTTTGAAAAAACTTTTTAAAAGAAATGATCTTTGCAACTAAAAGTGAGTTCAGGAATCGTTTACGTATAAGGAAGGTATTAGCACCTACAAAGTCTGTTAAAAAATGGTTACCTTAAATTAATTGTGCGAATTCATTTTAATCTTGAAAAATATTTATTTAACCCCTAAATATTAATTATTTTTATTTTAAAAGAAGAAATATTATTTATTGAGATATTATTTGAGTTATTTTAAAAATTATTTTGACTTGACGGGTATGGTTCTTGTTCCTACGTATCCCGAGTGCAATGAGGAACTCAAAGTCATATAGTTCTATTTAAAAATTATGAAATTAGTTGATTATAATTAAGTTTAGTAAAAGGAAATTTATTTTGAAATTAAAATTATTTTTGTAAAATTATAATGTTTAGAATACAAGATAACGTGGTTATACATATACCCTACGAGAAACAATACAGAAAGTGAAGAAAGATCACATAACTATACTGCAAATCGTTAAAATATTTTATTTGTAAATAAAGTATTTGAATTTTTTATTTTGATTATGATTAATATTGAAAGAGAATTTAAGATAGCGTAAGCTATACATTAATCTCTTATAATTTTTAGACAATCGAAAATAATGTAAATCACACAACGATATTGCAAAAATTTGCATAAAAATGGAGAAATAATTTGTTATTTACTTTATCAAAATTAAAAATATGATTCAAGAAATTTTAAAATATGAAATTAATTTTATTTTAATAAAAGTAAATAAATCTTTGAATTGATTAAAAAAGATATTTATTTAATAAAACTTAAAACTTCATTTGATATATTTATATTATATAAAAATATAAGGTAACGTCGGTACACATAAATTTTTGACAATTTATAACGCATAAAAGTAAAGTCGCTACATATTAGCATTATAAATTACTTCTTAATAAAATAATTTAGATTGAAATTAATTGATTTATTCAATATAATATAAATATGAAGAGTTAAATATATTTATTTATAAATAGTAAAAGATAATAATAATAATAAGATATGGAATAAAATAATATAAGTAAGAATTTTTATTTTCAAACCAACGTAATATTGATAATAATAACAAATAGAAAGGAACGACAAATATGCATTGAGCATGCAGCGGATTGAACTTTTCACCAATCAGGATTTTATTGGATTTCAAAGTGAAATCAAATGAAATAAAAGAAAGAAACAAAAGAGGGAAAGTTAAAGTCAAATCAAATGTCAATATATTATTATACTTGCTGTTGAACATCCGTAATCTTTCTCAGCAAAGTTCAATGCATCCAAGTAATATAATAATATTGAATATGAAAAATAAAGTTGATTAGATCAAGGTCAGAGATCAAGTGTTCTATTTACTAGCCGTTCCACAGTTTTTGCACCAAGTTTCCACATCATGAAAATAAAAATAAATAAAAGCTTAATGATTAATAAAAGCAGTCTCCCTCACTACTCACTATGGATACACGAGTGCATATCTCATCTATGGCGTTGAGAGGTTCACCTATTACTGCCACATTGTCTCTTATCAATATCTCTACGTGCGATTCGTTGGGACATGAGCTTTTAGTTGGTAGAAATGATCAAGCATTCCCCATGATTCCGATCCAGAGTATCTAAACTACCTCGATCCGCTGCTCTAAATGGATCCCACGTACTAGCAGCATGAATTGGCTTTTATGACTCGTTCCTTTGGGAATCTGAAGGAAGAGTCTCCATCGATTAGTTTACTTAGTTGTAAGGCTTTCTCCAACTAGCCCACATTACTGACTAACGGTGGATAATCATATTTCTTAGAGGTACTAAATACAATTCCATGAATGAGCAAAATGGAGGTTGCATTAATGATAAAGATCTCTGAGAAAACCGCTAAAAAAAGATTGAACATGTGAGAGAGACATAAGTCTAAAGTTATCCCACTAGTAATGTGCATTATCTACTTGTCCTTGGTACATCTTATATGAAGCAGTACTGTTCTTCGTACCTAATACTTTAACTATTTTAAATTTCTCATTCATTCCAACATTCGAAATCGGTAGCATAAAACACAAGCACTGAATAAAAAGAATACCTTCGATTTCAGCTTTGCAAAGGTGGAGAGTTCCAAATCTGAACAGCTACTATTAAAATGGTGAGTGACGGTGTATTCTTCTTCTTCCTCTTTTATCTTTGACTTGCGATCTTTTTACTATCTTTCCTTTTTCTCTCCTTTTTTATGTTTCCTATTGAAGACCCATTTTTATTTGCCCTCTCTTCTTCCAGATCTTTTGAATTTTTTTTTTTGCCGCCCTTAAATTCTTCTCCCTTTTTCCAAGCCCCCCTCTTAGATCCCTTACTCATGCTTTTATATGGGTCAAGTTTTTCACGTTTTAGGATTTCACATAGAGACAAGTTTATGAACTTTCCCTTTTCTTATGTATGGAATTCGGTTTTGATATTGGAGTTTAAGTTTACACGGTGCAAGGCTTCCATTTCCATGAACTGGTTTCTCTCTTTTAAAGAATTTTCTATTTTCGTAAAATGATTTTATTTTATTTTTTAAAAAAAATTGGAGGTAATCTTTGTGAGGAAAAAAAAATTGGTATTCACAACAAGTTTCTCAGTATAATTTATTAGAAAAAAAATCCTTTTATGTTTAATAAAAATATTTGTAAATGCACTCTAAGTTGTATTTCACAGTTGACTGAATTTTAAAGATGGCATGCTTTGTGACAGAGAACCAGTTCCTAAAGATGAAGGTTCTACTGGCCGTTATTGGGATGGTCGCAGACACCCCACCAACACCTAATGGAGACAACAGATATGATCCTTAAGGAGTACATAGCATCAGCAATCCTTGTATGAGAACAAGGTTTATATGAATAATTTAACATTGACAATGACTCAAAATAAATAAAAATAATGATAAAGATATAACAAATGTACGTGATAAAGTAATTTTGATATTATTTTAACCTTTTAATTATTTTTCTTTCCACATTCTGCTTATATCATGACGAATTATTTGCCCGATATTGCATAGGGTCTCTTTGCTTCTAAACTCTCTTTTGTTTTTATTTCTGCTAGGGATCACCAGAAATAAGCATATCGTACTCCGATATGTGCAGTTATGTATTGGGTTTTTTTTTTTGGGTTGGGGGGGGGAGGGGACAACTATCTACAGCTAACACTGTCAGTAAATATAGGAAATTCTTCGACATAGCAATGGAACTAGAAATTGCTTCAGTAATTGAGTTTATGCTCCTGGTAATGATTAAACTAACCTTAAATAAATTCAACTTTTAAACAAAAGTTAAAATTCATTAAAATGAAAAAACCTGGCTCCACTTGCAACTCCAAAAAAACAAACAGAAAGCTTATCAAACGGCGGAAAAATAGCTAGAATCTTCACTCATAACTAACTCATAATTTATTACTTTTTTCCTTGATTCATATAGATTACAGACATTTTTCATTATAAATTTACATATAACATGATTTTACTATTAAATCCACGTAAAAATACACATGAAGGGAAAATATCAGTACCACAAGCAATGATTAATCATATATTTAGAGATAAAATATTGTAAAAAAAAAATACACAAAATTTATTGTATTTCTATTTGAAAATAAGAAAAAGATAATTGCACAAGCCATATAAAGTAATGTGCATGATATGAACCATTCAAAATAGCTTATGTTGGGTTGGGTTGCTCGAGTAAGAGGGTTCAGAGACCAGTATTACTATTGCAGAATATTGCTTCTTGCATTTCATGTCTCCATACTCCACATCACCTCATCTCAATATCAGCATAAGCTAAAAAAATCAAAATATAGGTGTTCTAGTAGGTCTAACTGTAATCAATTGATAGAAACTACACATATGTCATATTATTAGCACTATTTACTATTGGGAATTATATAAATAACTTACATATTATAAAAAATTCTGGAGAAGCAAATTAGTATAGAACTTTCTATGGTTTATTATTTTATTTTAAGCAGAAAATAAGAACATGTGACATGAAAGGATACATCCGTTCCAGAGAGTATATGATTGCCTGTAACAAGTCTGAAGCCTCCCATATCTAACCCATTTCGGAAGGATTATAATAAATTGTTTGTGGAACCTGAAGTTGAGGTTATTGTTGACTAGTGAAATTTTGTCAGCCTCTGAAGTTGTCATATCCTGCACAGATGTTCTATTTGACGAAATCTTGAGGAATCATTTCTGCTGGCTATATTCAAGCCATTAAAACACATCTTTCAAGTCAAAATTTTCCATGATACCATGTTGTGAGCCAGTATGATTGTCCATCGATAGATCCAAGGCCAGGTAGGCTACATACTTAACTCTAGAACAGAAAAGATATGAACACTTTCAGTTTTCCCAAACCAGCATATGGTGCCGGACAATCAGAACAAAAGTATGAATCAATTTCTTCTTCACAGGACACAAAGGGACAGACATATACACTAACCTACTGTTTTGGCATGCGTATAATAAAAAAATGCAGGATGGAAGCTTTAATTAAGGCATATAAAGGGACCAAATTCAGATGAAATTGATGAAAGGAATAAAAGAACAAATACAAGAGGAATCAGGAAAAATATAAGAATCTCCATACAATATAGCAAGGGATAGATACACCAACCTATCTTTTTGGCAAGTGCTGGATTAAAAAAATGCAGGTGCTATGAAATGGAAGCTCATGTTAAGTGACCAATATCAGAATAGGAAGAGTAATTGTCACCTTTTCATTCACTTATCACGGATGAGCACAAATTGTATTTTCAAAATTTTCTTTCAACGAATTGCAAGCTTTCCTGATCTCATCCAACTGATCATTTGGTATGCTTGTGTGAGCATCCAGTTTCTCAATCCATTCTTCCCAAGGAGATCTTGATGAGTCCAAAAATTTTGATACTCGAGGTAACATAATTGATGTGTAAAAATCATCAACTGCCTTGTTAATTTCTTCTGATTCAACTATTGTCCGCATTTCAGGTCTTGTTATATTTCCTGGTCGTGTTCTTATTGAGAATTTGTTTCCCCTCAATATTAGAACTTCTGAAGGTGCAAGGGGTAGAATAATTCGCGAGAACTTTAACAGAGACAGGTTTATAATATCTTTTGGCAGTAACTTGCGTTTTACAGCCACGGCTGTCCCAACCATTTTCCTTATCTGGTGAGAGTATAAAATGTCATATCGTAAGGCAGCAAAATATCTGTAGCCAGTTTAATTCATTACCAAAAAAAGCAAACAAAATGACAATGGACGATGTAATTTATAAGGGTTGACAGATCAGGACATGTCTAAAACAATAAAATAGAGGTTAGTATTGTAAAACATGGTCATTACTGAATAATTGGATATTGTAACAAATGAAGGGAGTGAAAATTTATTGCAATTGCATATATAACTTCATCAGTTGTCACCATATCAACATTCAAATTAAGTACTCCAATAACACCATCAAATTTTCTAAGTAGGAAATATATTCAACTTGATTAATCAGTATTCTGGAGATATATTGTTTGTATCAAAAGGGGCAAAGTTTTCCAGAGTTTTCATACATCAATTTACTCCATAAGTTTACCACAAAATAACCATACTAGTGTTTATGCATATACATCTGAATCCTGGAGTATTTGCTGTTTAAAAGAAGAATAATATGGGGGAAGAGGGAGGGATAGAAATACCTGATGCAACATGAAGGACTCTCCCTGTATGTAGATCTCTATGTAATTATATCCCCCTGATGTTTCCAGCTTGCCACAAGAACACTGAAAAACTTTTCTGAAATGGGCAGCACTTAATCTGTCTGCTTCATCAGGTTCATATAACCATTTTGCACGAACAACCAATCTAGAATGTTCATCATACAAACCATTTTCATTTTTATTGCTAGTGCCAACAACAGGTTCACCAAAATTACAACTTTCTGAACATTTTTGGCTTTGGCACCCTATACTTTCTGTAAATGCCTCATCAATTTCAGAATTTTCATCCCCATCACCATTCTCACATTCAAACTCATATGGTGACAAACTGTCTCTTGCTGATGTGCCACTTTTTGATGATGACTGTCTAAGAGGAAAATGTTTCCTATACTTGGACCTAGCTGTATAATTATGGAAAGGATGTTCTCCCTGTCAAAGGAAATTATAGATAGTAACTGACATCGAAAATCACAAATGACAACATTCTTCAGTTAACCATGTCCATAAACACCAGAGAAGCAACACAAAATATCAGAAAACCTGAGACTAATTTGGTCATAAATTTAAAATTCTAGCATGGTTCCAGGAAATACATAGCCAGTCAGATCTAATGTCCAACTACAAAAATCTACTTAAACTGATAACTGCAAGAGAAAGAAGTAGAATCAGTCAATGTCTTGTTTGTGTTATGCTTTTATCTTCTCTTGACTTTTGGGTCCATACAAAATTTTTCGTACAAAAACAACACTGGTACATAAATACATGTATGAACCATTGGAAATTATTTATCAGGGAAAAGAAATTGGTCATACCAAAGTTTCATAACTAACACAATCAGGAAATAAGAACCAAAAGGAATGTAGACTTTATAATGAAGCAAATATGGGAGAAAAGGGAGGCTAGAATATCATACCTCAAATGCATTAAGGATGTCATTGAACTCTGATATGTGGTAATAAATTTCATCATTGCTGGAATGGCTATGAATACCGATAATTTCAGCTGGAAGAAGGTAGGAATACTTCCGCATAATACATTCCTTTCTAGGATCAAAGCTCCTGAGTCCATGAGAAAAAAAAAAGCAAATAATTAGAGAGCAGGACAAAAGAGGAGCAGAAACTCAGGAGTCTACCGTTAAATTGAAATATAAACAAATATACAGTACATTATCGTTAAAAATTTCACAACATACATTCCACATCAGAGATTACTCAATATTATGAAACTGAAAAACAAGCATGGTTTTGCCTTACCTTTGTGAGGGAAAAATGCCTAAAACTTTGATATCACAAGGAAGATAAGAGTTAACGCAGTTTGCAAGGTCAAGGCCTAAAGGGTCTCCACTCCAACAGTTTTCTGGGATTTCCATTTTTAAGGATATAATTGTTGCAAGAGAGTGAACCTAATATACACCCAACATTAAATACGATAAAATAAGCAATCATATCCTGATGGCATTTGCACCAAAATCATAATACAAGGCAACGTAAATTAAAAAACCGGGATCATGACTTACTCCTTTGTCAGTGCGGCTACTTCTTGCCCACCCAATCTTCAGCAGATCCCCAAAATTGCTTTCGCGGATGCCACCAGCCTTGAATATGGCACTTTCCAGTTCTTTCTCAACAGCTACATTTTTATAAATTACAACACTTTAGCAGCATTCTATCCAAAATATCTAAGAAGATTGAATCACATGTGTACTCCACAACATACCAGCAGAACCGACACTATATTTACGCAGAAATGTGTGGACAACAGTGTAACCATTTCTATAGTTATGTTAACATAAATGCATAAACAGATTTCTATTGCTACATTTTTAAATAACAATCTTAAACAATTTTAATACTTCAACCTGCCTTTCAGAATTCAGGCCCATTATTTTGGATTCATCACTGCTCATGTAAAATATTTGTACAATTCATAAATAGTAAAAGATTAAAAGATTAAAAGTAACAAACTTTTTACTAATTTTCACCCGCTCCGCCCCAGCTAGTACATTTCTACAAACATCTTAGACTCTTAAAAGATTCACTGAACTGAATTTCCTTTATTTTTCCAACCCATATACACAAAGCAGGTAGAACTAGCAACTAGGCCACAGTAGTCAGACGAGAGCAGAGAAGAGAAAGGTGCGTACTAGAGAGTGCATGTTCATCTTGTTGCATTTGGAGACCTGAATGAAGAGGGAACAAAAAAAAAAAAAAAGACATGAGAACAAGGGGAACACTACACGAGGATGTGGGCTTGAAAAACAACATACGGTGGATAGAAAATAGGGACCTCGGTAATTGGTGCCTACATAGGCGACGCGCATAACAACCTTTTTCTTACGAGAAGGTTGCCATGAGTTAGGAGGAGAGGAACAATAGAACCTTGTCCAACTCCTTCTCCGAAAATATGGTGTAACTGTAAAGGGAACATTTTTTAGCAAAGGAAATAGTGGGACTCGCAGAGACGAAGTAGCCATCTTCGCCCTTCACAGTTCAGTCCAGTTCATGTAGAAGACAATTGATAATAACACTCTTTTCTATTGTTCTTGTAACAAAAAAAATAGTTTCCTAGAAACGTGAGAGAGAAAGATAATTGTTTTTGTTTTTTATTATTTATTTTAGTTAATATATTATTATAATATTTTAAAGTGTTTCATAGTTGTGTCTAATACGTTACTTTTCATATGTGGATGAATAATTGTGAAAAAAAAAATGATTGTATGTGTAAAAATATTAGAATAAAAGAAAAAAAGTGATTAAGATAATCTAAACACGTATAAAATAAAATTATTAAAATATTAATGAAGAATTTTAGTTTGACAAAACAAAATTAGAAAATTATCAAAAAAATTTAATGATAAATAAGTTTAATAATACTGTATAATTTATAACCTAGTGTAATAAGAAAATTTATTATTGTTGTCTCCAGAAAATTTTAGGCTACATCTTCTGTGACAGCAATAGTCTCTCTAAGATTCAAGCTAAGATACTTGATGTAGAATCAAAATTAATACATAATCCTCTTCAACTTACCTTCTTCGGCAACAAGCTCAACAATACATTGTCATTGTTTTGAGTTTCCATATTTGATCCATCCCTTCAGATTTCTTTGATTGATTCACGAGCCAAGAAGTTTTTATTTTGCAAAGATACCCTTATAGTCCACCATAATAGTGAAGAATACCTAAAACTTTTGAATATTTATTTAGCAGCGTCATCATAACTCATAGCACGAGGAAATGGAATAGCCCAACAAGTAACAACGACGTTATCTGTAATCTGTCTACTCTCAATCTTCTTCATTCATTTTCGTTAAACCCTATAACCACTCTACTCACTGCACTCTGCACCCTCTTTACGACGTCGTTTAAGAGGGAACAGCCATGAACCCTTCCACACTCACCTCTTCTCACACACACCGTTCCCTCTTACTACCCTCTCCCTCTCCCTTCCTCACCAAACGGCGTCGTTTCAGGGTCTCCCTCCCTCGCTGTTCCTCCGACGCCGCCTCCTCTTCACCGCCGGAAAGGACTCCGAAGGACCTCAAGGGAATTGAGGTCCTCGTCGACAAATTGTCGCCGCCGGTGAGGCTTGCCACCTCCGCCGTCATCGTTGCCGGCGCCGTGGCCGCCGGCTACGGTCTTGGCTCTCGGTTCCGCGGCAGCCGCTACGCTGCACTTGGAGGCGCCGTGGCTATCGGTGCCGCAGGCGGCGCGGCCGCGTATGCTTTGAATGCGTCTGCTCCGCAAGTTGCAGCCGTGAATTTGCACAACTACGTGGCAGCGTTCGACGATCCTTCCAAATTGAAGAAGGAAGACATTGAGGCCATTGCCAATAAGTTAGTCTCAACTGTTAATGTGAATCGTTCATGTTTTTCTCCGTTAATTTTGTTGCTGCTAGAGTGGTTGATCATGAAATGGTTGATTTTTCAGGTATGGTGTGAACAAGCAAGATGAAGCATTTAAAGCTGAGATTTGTGATATATATTCTGAGTGAGTGACGATTTTTTTTTTAATATCTGAAATTGATTTGTCTGTTAGCATGTGTGATGATGAGTTATGATGATTTGGATGTTTTGCTTCTGGGGTGAATGATTGATTGGCGTTTTGATTTGTTGGTAAGGTTTGTATCTTCTGTGCTTCCTCCTGGTGTTGAGGAACTTAAAGGTGATGAGGTTGATAGGATCGTCAGCTTCAAAAATTCTTTGGGAATTGATGATCCAGATGCTGCTGGTATGCACATGGAGGTATTTTTGTTTTTGTTGTGTGTATACCTGTGGAGATTGAGTGGATTTATTGGGAGGACTGAAACTGAAAGCAGTTTCTTGTTTTACTGGCTTGCTGCTTGTTGACCTCCTAGATTGGTAGGAAAATTTTCAGGCAAAGGCTGGAAGTTGGGGATCGTGACGCAGATGTTGAGCAACGCCGGGTAAGTTAGTTGAGTTGTAATATTATCCTAATCAATTGATGGAAAAACCTTCAAGGTATAGATAAATGGGAGTAAATACTCGGAGCTTGACCATTGTTAGTATCTCCAGTGCAGGCATTTCAAAAGTTGATATATGTGTCAAATCTTGTATTTGGAGATGCTTCATCTTTCCTTCTACCTTGGAAGCGTGTCTTCAAGATCACTGATTCCCAGGTATTTAATTACCTATTTGTTAATTGTTATGCCTGCTTGTGCAATGTGCATTGTATTTATTTGTAATATATATAGGTTAGGAGTCTGGGAGCATAGGTTTGTAACTGTATATAGGCATTTGCTTGAAAAAGGAAGAACTAATTTGCTGCACAAACTGCGCTTTGCCATGTTGGTTAACACTGACATGCTGACATAGACAGTCTCATTTCTTTATAATTTTAATGGTTCCTCATTGTCATTTCTTTCAATCTTAGCATTTTTTGTTATTTTTCATTATTTACCAGATTGAAGTAGCTATACGTGACAATGCACAGCAACTGTATGCTTCCAAGCTGAAATCGATTGGCAGAGGTAATTGTATAGTCAGTGATGTATCTTGGCCTTTATTTGGTCTTACTGTAACAAAAGTAATTGACTAACTCATCCTAATTCCCCATGTCAAGTTGCCATAATTTTATAGTTTTCAATTTTGATTGTTATTGCAGAAATAGTTTGGCACACTTAAGTTTCAACAGTCCAATGATTATTATTGGTGGAGAAATGATTATAAATAAGATTCTTTTCTGCTAATTGTGCATTCATTTCTTATTAAATAAAGCCTTAAAATTCTGCTTGTTTGCATCTGATATGCTGGACTTTATTCTGTAATTTTATAGAGTTATTATTACACAAACTAGCAAATTCAAGAAGTTTGGAATAGGGTTTGCTTCCTTAAGTGCTAACCAATAATCTCTTGCCAGATATTGATGCAGAACAACTAGTTAAACTAAGAGAAGCACAGTGTTTATGTCGCCTTTCTGATGAGGTGCATTTTCCTTATTTCTTGTGTCATAACTTTCAACTTCTCTGGGATAAATCCCTTTCTCTTGCCATTAAAAAGTTCCTTGGGTTAGTATAATCTACTTATTAATTAAGGGAAAATTTCCATTGAAGCTTGCTGAGAACTTGTTTCGAGAGCATGCAAGGAAATTGATTGAGGAAAATATTTCAGTGGCAATTGGGATCCTTAAATCTCGCACCAGAGCAGTGTAAGATTCATAGTTTTTCTGACTAAAATATTATTTTATTTTTAGGGACCAGGTAATTGTAGGTTTTCATTAGTGACTGAGCCAAAGTTTGTTCCATATTAAATTTTGAATTCTGGGCATGTTTCCTATCCATGTTTCTTTAATATTTACTATTCATTTCTTCATTTTTTGAAATGTTGCAAAATTAGGATTTTCCCCAGCTGATCATCTTTAAATTTTCAGTCCTGGAGTCAGCCAAGCAGTTCAGGAGCTTGATAGGGTATTGGCATTTAATAATTTACTCATCTCATTTAAGAATCATCCAGATGTCAATCACTTTGCTCGTGGTGTTGGTCCTATTTCTTTAGTGGGTAAGTGTCAAGACTAGGTCTTTATTATTATTGTTGTTGTTGTACTTGTTATGTTCTTTTCTAGTTTTAATGTAAATTCTTCAACTACAATTCATTTTTGGCATAGGTGGTGAGTATGATGGTGACAGAAGGATTGAGGACTTGAAAATACTTTACAGGGCATATGTTTCAGATGCTTTGTCTGATGGGCGTATGGAAGATAATAAGGTAAATGACCATAACGATTGAATATGAACCATGAACTTGTTAATGTGTCTCTTCTCTAAAAACTAATTAATTTTGAGGTTGAGTTTGGGTTTGTGTTTTATTGAGGTGTGTTCTGATTTAATAATTTATTTTTTAAAAATGAATTTATGGGAGTATTTGGAGGATATTTATATTTGAACAAGACAAATGAATTATATATAGTATGACTATGCATTGGTGACCTATATTTTCTTATATTCTACAATTTGGCTTCCAAGTTCCAACACTTCCCATGGGTGCAGATTCAATTGTTAACATGTATATTGAAGCCTAGCTGTTTAGCGTTATTAACTACTATGTTTTATCTTTCTTTTTGTATTATCAAAGCCTGATTAAACAGGTTGTTCAGTGTATGCTTCCAAATCGTCATTGCCCATAATCTCATTTAAAGTGTATCAGTTAGGGCATTGTTTATTTTCAGAACGAGGTATTTGTTTACTGTTTCAAGCCTACTGGATTTTCATTTATTGGTTCATTTTAGTGTTATAAAACAATGTACTGGCTCCTTGCTTAACACTAAGAAATTCAAGATTTTAGGTCAGGTGGTTTATAGTTTATTGACTGTTAAGATGTACAGGCATAAGAATCCCCTTTAAATATAGTTTACATTTGTTCTCTAGTATCTTTCATGAATCAACTTTCAAATAAGTAAAGACACCCAACTATGTGCTGAAACCATGACATCGATCATTATAAGGAATTGTCATTGATATTAAATATAAAACTTGGGTTAAAATATACATTTAGTCTGTATAATTTAACACTCATATACAAATTAGTTTTTATATTTAAAAAACTTAAATTTTAAATTTTTATATTAGTAGTGCTTTTTTACATTTTGTTCTCTACTATTATGTCACCATTAGCTTTATTATAAGGGAAGAACCAAAATGTAGCAAAACACACCTATAAGAACTAAAACGTAAAATTTTTAACTATAAAAATTAATTTGTCAACAAGTGTCAAGTATAGGAACATGTGTGTATGTTAACCATAAAAGAAAAAATATTTGGTGATTTTTTTAGAAAAAATTTAAAACATAGTACCGAATATTTAAAATAAAAAATCACAAATTTTTAAAAGATTAAAACCTATATATTTAAGTTAATGAACTGTTATTGATTAGATGAAAATGAATAGATAGACTAATAAAAAAAATTATAACTATAATCAATAAAATACTAAAAAGTGTTCACATATGACAAATATTTTTTATTCTTGTCGGAATAAGACTAAATATGTTTACATATTTTTTATAGATAAAATATTAATTAATTGAGAAATTGTCATAAGGATTAATTAACAAGATTTTGGGTCGATACAATTAAAATCACTTATAGAGTTATATCTTCATGATGAGGTTAAAAATTCACTTATGTAATAAAGTTGATGCTGTAAGGTTTTAAGTAGTGATGTAGTTTCATATTCTAAAGATCGTTAATCTTTTCTTTCCTATGCAAAAATATTTTTTTAAATATTCTATAGAAATTGATATATCATATAAAAAATTATATTATATATTAATTGAGGTAATATTTACTAAAAAATTATTCATTACTAGTCAAGAATCAAATGTGTTTCAAAGACAAAATCGGTGTTCTGTATTCTTTTAAATCAGATAAAGGAAACAGACAAAATCGGTGTTCTGTATTCTTTTAAATCAGATAAAGGACAAATTTAGTTTCTATGATTGATACTTATAAATTAGTTCTAATAATGATAATGATTAAAATGTAACAAAATACTCATATAAAGACTAAAACATAAATTTTTAAGTACAGAGACTAATTTGTAAAAAATTGTTAATTTTAAGGACTAACTGAATATTTTAACTTAAAACTTGATCTGCTATAACTTTTTTAATATAAAGTATTAGACTTTTAATATGTTTATAATTCATTTCAGCTTGCTGCACTAAATCAGTTAAGAAATATATTTGGACTGGGTAAACGTGAAGCAGAATCCATTTCACTTGATGTTACATCGAAGGTATATCGCAAAAGACTTGCACAGGCTGTTTCAGATGGTGAATTAGAAATGGCAGATAGTAAGGCAGCCTTCCTTCAAAATCTCTGTGATGAACTTCATTTTGATGCACAAAAGGCCAGTGAACTTCATGAAGGTAAAATTTGTCATGTTTACCATAGTTTAACCATATTTGAGGCCTGGATTACTAAATGCTTTATGTTCTGTTAGTTTAAATTTATGTGCAATTCTTAAACCTTAGGTTTTTAAAGTTGTAATATAATATTCGGTTATGCATATGCTTTCTTATTTGTTGAAATGATTAACTTTTACATGATTTGACTGTTGTTGTGTTTCTTTATATTATATTTACTTAATTATATTAATCTAACGATAGTTTGTTATTTTAAGAAATTTACCGGCAAAAGCTTCAGCAATGCTTAACTGATGGGGAGCTCAATGATGATGATGTTGCTGCATTGTTAAGGTTGCGTGTGATGCTCTGTATACCTCAGCAGACTGTTGAAGCAGCTCATTCAGATATCTGTGGCAGTTTGTTTGAAAAGGTAATGGTGTTTCATTTTTCCTATCGAATTTGTTGGTCATGGAATTACATATTTTCCTGCTGTGCAGAAGTATGATCCATCCTTGCATTGTGAGAAACTGATATTATGATTCAATCTTGTTTATGGTGCTGTCCACAGTGGTTCTTGATATGTTTAGTAGAGTGATTTGTTGTTTGTAGGAGGCAGAGAGGGGTTTTGTTCTTGGCATTGTTGTTTCTGACCATCCATTTCTTGTTTGAGGATGTGGTTTGGCTCTGGAGATTCTTGCTTCTCTTTGTGAAAACTGATAGAATGAGAGGTTACATTTTAATGCCGTGATAAAATTGATAATGCTTTCATTTACTGGTAGCATGAATTTGGAGACACTGAATCTCTCTCCAGCATTTTCTATCTTATACATAGGATACATTGTTATAGTGTTTTGATAGAGTTTGTGAAGAGTTTCTAATTTGTCATTTGGAATTGTTAGGCTGTAATTCTTGAAATTTATTTAGGTTGTCTTTTCACTTTGTAGACACTTGGTGACATTGATATGCAAATAAATGGGGTTAATGGTTACTCTTTTTATTTTGCTGTATCATGAGATATCTTTCAATCTCTGTCAGACTTGTTCAAAAATTTATTGAGTTATTTCTAATTCTTGTTTTTTCTTTGATAGAGTGTCAATGATGCAATTGCATCAGGGGTTGATGGATACGATGCTGAAATCAAGAAATCAGTAAGAAAAGCGGCACATGGCTTGCGACTAACCAGGGAAACTGCTATGTCTATTGCAAGCAAGGCGGTAAGTATCAAGTTGTCAAGAAAATGCTCATTTATGAAGATTTTAAAAGGCTTAAATTTGCTGTCCTTTTAACAGGTAAGGAAGATATTTATTAATTTCATAAAACGTGCACGGGCAGCTGGAAATCGAACAGAGTCTGCAAAAGAACTGAAGAAGATGATAGCTTTCAACACCTTGGTTGTAACTGAGTTGGTGGCAGACATTAAAGGGGAGTCAGCTGATGTTTCAACTGAAGAACCTGTCAAAGAGGACATTACACAAACTGAAGATGAAGAATGGGAATCACTTCAGACACTCAGGAAAATAAGACCAAACAAAGAACTTACGGAAAAGTTGGGAAAGCCTGGTCAGACGGAAATTACTCTTAAAGATGACCTACCAGAACGGGATAGGACTGATCTCTACAAGATATACTTGCTTTTCTGTCTGACTGGTGAAGTGAAAAGGATTCCATTTGGTGCCCAGATCACTACAAAGAGGGATGATTCTGAGTATCTTCTTCTAAATCAGCTTGGTGGGATCCTGGGATTGAGTGGTAAAGAAATAGTGGAAGTACATAGGAGTCTAGCCGAGCAAGCTTTTAGGCAACAAGCTGAGGTAATTTTAGCTGATGGACAGTTGACAAAGGCCAGGGTGGAGCAGCTTAGTAATCTCCAGAAGCAAGTAGGCTTACCTCAAGAATATGCTCAGAAAATAATCAAAAGTATAACCACTACAAAAATGGCAGCTGCCATTGAAACTGCTGTAACTCAAGGGAGGCTGAATATAAAGCAAATTAGAGAACTTAAGGAAGCCAGTGTTGATTTAGACAGTATGGTATCTGAGAACTTGAGAGAGATCCTCTTCAAAAAAACTGTAGATGATATTTTCTCATCCGGTACTGGAGAGTTTGATGAGGAGGAAGTATATGAAAAAATCCCATCAGACCTCAACATTAACAAAGAGAAAGCAATAAGTGTTGTTCATGAGCTTGCCAAGACTAGACTATCTAACTCACTTGTTCAAGCCATCTCATTATTAAGACAGAGAAATCGCGAAGGCGTGGTAAGTAATATTCTAAGCTTCATATTCACTTATTCAGATTTTTTAGGTCTGGTTGTCATGGACAACAGGTGTGATTGTTTCTCGTCTTTTGTGCAGATTTCTTCACTGAATGACTTGCTGGCTTGTGACAAAGCTGTACCCTCACAGATGCTTTCATGGGAAGTGCCAGAGGAGCTTGCTGATCTATACAGCATATATTCGAAGAGTGATCCAACTCCTGAGAAATTGTCTCGGTTGCAGTATCTGTTGGGTATAAATGATTCCACGGCTGCTGCTCTTCAAGAGATGGGAGATAGATTACTCAATATTACTGCAGAGGAAGAGAATTTTGTATTCTAGTCCTGTAATAAAATGTTTGGCATTAGGCATATTGGAGAGGCCGCAAGTCTCCTTTTTGCCATTTTTTATTTGCCATTTTGTTTTGCGGTAAAAGAAAAACATTATCATGATACATAATTCTTGGAGTAGAGGTGAGTGCAGGGTAAGACGCCGAAATCTCTGATATTATTTGTATGTGACAGTTGAATTAATCAATTGCTATTTTGTATGAATGAAAATAAGTTCTTGTAGTTATGATTACAGAACTTGGGAAGATTTCATCACCATCAACTATTTTCCGTTTTCTGTTTATCTTACTAATTTTCTTTCATGACCATGAATGGCTCACGTTTCACTGTGTGCTCTGTGAGGGTTAAGTTTCGCAAAACAATCATTTCTAAAGATAATCTTACGTGTATTCGTTATTTATCAGAAAATTGAAAACTAGGATGTTAAAAATGTAGTTTTTGAAATAAGAGATCAATGTGGTTAACCAGCAACGGTAACTTCAATGGCTTTAATAAGAATGTGGTTTTTGTAAAGTAAAATGAACGTGATCAATAGTAACTAAATGCCTCTTTGTGCACTCGTTAAAACTAAGTTCGCAAGATTCCCCAACCATCTCAACAAAGTTCTCTCAAAGGAAAATGAAGCTTAAATTGACGATAATTGTCAAATTTAGGAATTAAATCAACTGATTCGATTATATTAAAGACTAAATTTAGTTAATTTTACTTATTCCAAGAACCAAATTAATTAGCAACCAATAAAGTAAAAAATTAAATTAATTTTTATAATATTAAAGACAAAATTAATATATTATACTAATTTTATTCTTTCAATATTAAAGCATTTGAAATAATTGTTGATGCAAATTATTTTCATCGTTGAATACTTCAATAGAATTTTTACTCTGTCTATAAAAAAGAATGCAGAACAGAGAATAGAAACAGTTATACCTATTCCCATGCAGAATAAAACATGCCAACATTTTTATTCCGACAGAAAAAACAATACTTTAGCCTAATTTGTGGCGTGAGGGTCAACATGTATAGAATCCACCAACCCAATACTTATCATCGCACCAGTGTCTTGGTAACTGATTCTCTGATAGCTGTTTGCCCTGACAAAGCCAAAAGTCACAACAAATACTTCACCTTCTTATGCATTAAAAGTGCAATTTGGATATATACACATCAATCTTTTATCAAATATTATCCGAAGTTAACTGCATATTTCTTCTTTAACTTTTTTTTGTTTGAAAGTATATAGCAACTTGAAACTCATTTATAGTTTCAAACGTGGATCTTGAAAGAGTGTAGTGGGATGTTCAACACATAGTAGGTATTCTTACATATAGTATTTAAAATTCAACTGTTTCTTTGCAAATTCTAATGAGGTTTCATTGCCTAATAGGCAGCATAAATATTTTCATCGTAGGGGAAGGTAACAATCAATATTACCCCTTATCCAAATGAGAGTCGAAGTGCAGATGGTTGGTTTCACTTCAATCGTTAAGATGTCTATCTCAACGAATTCACCCAAAAATAAATATCATTTACAAGCCATTTAACATTAAATTAACCTTTGTTAGTATAATTTTCTTTAACCGAAATTATTGTTAGTATAATCTCACTTTTAGTTTTTACTAACACTATGATACTACTTTTGTTTCTAATTTATGTTTTATCAACGAGTCTCTCTTTGATTTGACCTATAAATTACTCAATTAATGTAAATATTTTATTTATTGAATTTAAAACTTTAACATAAGTAAAGGGATATTAGTTAAAAAGTAATCATTAATATGATCTTAAATATTTATTTAAAAATAAAAATAAAATACTTTTTATTTTCTCATAAACAAATATATAAATAAGAACGAAGATAATATATTATACTAATTAATAAATACTTTTATTGGTACAAACATTAATACATGCTATCAAAACATTATCAGTATACTACGTTATAAATTAATATAGACCTTCAAAATATCTACTAATAATTTAATTGTTATTAGACAACGAATATCTAACGATAGTTATGTTAATACTTCACATATTTTTTCTTGTTAGTAAATAACAATATTTTTATGATAAATTTATTTTATGTTGGTAACTGATGGAAAAGTTTTTATTCTTTTTCTTGTTTGCAAATGTTAATTTGAAATATTAATAGTATTGGCTGAAGATTAAAAATAATATTTTTTATTAATTATAACAATGTACTTTCTTATAATTTTCAATATATATATTTCAAGTACGATTCTTAATAAAACTTTTTATTTATTAATTCCTTAATTTATGCCTTATTAACTTCTTTTATCCTAAAGCTCGCTGATAAAGTGCTAATTGGTTACAATTATCTTCACCTTTTGGTTTAGAATTGACTTGTGGCATATTTTCACCGGCTTAGTTCCTCACTTCCTTTCACAAACCATATTTAATTGTATGCCGTTTACTTTTGGGAATTAGTATCATTATTATCATTATCATTTTGAGACGTAGACACTAGACACTAGACACTAAGAAAGTCATATTTGAAATTAACACTTGGAATGTTTTGAGGTTTGGCAGGTTTGCAGAACTTGGTTTCCAAGTTTCTCAAATCATTTTGTTGACTAGTTTGATTCCTTTTATTGCATGTTCACACTCCAAACTACTCATTTATTTGCAAATGAAATCATCATGGCCCTTTTATTAAATGGTAAATAATTGTAACTTCATTTTCTTTTCTAATTTTATATGAAATATGAATAAAATGGATTTTAAAATATTGGCTTCTGAGTAACAGAAAACCTTTGGGAACCCCACTTTATTTATCTGTGTGGCCCGGGTCATATGAAATGGGAAATTCTATTAAGCACCTAAAACAAAGAAAAGAATATCCTATACTAGCAATTATGGGTGAGAGATGAAAAAGAAAAAGTTGTAAATTTCTTGAGTTGAATGTGGATTATGTAACAAGAGAATTCGGCAGTGACGAACTGTACATGATTTATTTTTTACTTAGAGTTGTAAATGCATATATTGTTTAGTATATAAATTTTTATTTATATAGCATCACTATTTTGCATATGAAAATCACATACAATGAAAGCAATATAGATCTTATAACCTAATCCAGCATTTGGCCTTAAAAGTCCAATCACGAGACAGTGGAGGAAAAAGTGAAAGAATATTTGACTACGAATCAAATTTGGTAGCATTTATAACCACTATGCACTAATGAAGATTAGGCAATCGTCCAAACGTGCTGGACCCAACTAGCTTCAGCAAATATAGGACTTCCAAAACTGTATGTCAAGCTTGGAACCAAATCTAATATGAATAGTATAATGGTAAAACAGAGCTACAATGTCTTCTCATTTCTCTTTGCTCTATTTAAAATGAAAGAGATAAATTATATTTTTCTCATTATAGTGTTCTAATTTCATAGTTTAACAGAGTGCTTTATCCTTTACTAATAAAATAAACAATACATTACACTTAAATTTTTCTATTTTAAAATGAACTCATTTAAGAACTTTCCTAGTTTTTTCCCCTTCTCTTTGATTGAGTCATTAGACGATAGTTTAATTTTAATTTGTACAACTCAATTATCAACTTCGCAATTTTAGAAACTAGAATAAATTTTTTTAATTATGTTTCAAAGTTGATAATATAAGAGTTCCAGTTTCAATTTTGTTCTAAAATTAAGCGGATAATATGAAAACTAATTAAAACTAGTTGTTAATGATGTTGCATTCCGTTAAAAAAGCAACTATCATCGAGACTAGTTGATAATTATTCATAACCGTTAAAATGTCAATTATATTATTTAATTCATTTCATAACGAATGAGAGTTCAATATTTAAAGATTGAAATATATATTTAATTACTATAATTAATATTTATTTATAAATTAATTTTTAATTTAGCCTTTATATAAATATTTTGTTATGCTTTTTAATTTTTGATGTTACATTATTAAATAATTTTTAACAGAATTTAAATATAATAAAACACTAACGATAATATAGAAACTAAAATATAAAATTTTAAATATAAAGACTAATTTATGAATGAGTATCAACTCAATATTTTATAATGTAAACCTCTTTTAAGTAAGCAAAGTGTAATTTACCTAATTAAAAAGACAAATGGTCGAATTTAATTACAAACACAAGCAATGATGAGTATAGTAGTGTCTTTCGTTTTGTCTCATAAAGGAATAAAAGACTACACCAAAGTCGATCATAAATTCATAACCATAGATGATTGCTCCATAGGGTCCAAAATGGAGAGCGCGTGCTTCACTATAAATAAAGCATATGAAGCAATGTTTGGTTCACAAGTGCAAAGACGTCACAAGCACAGTTGGTCACTTTATTTATCAGTTTTGGTTCTCTCACTTGTTTAATATAGACCATGGCCTTTCACTCCTGTGGCTACATATTTTCTTTCTCCATTTTGTTTTGCATGTTTGTCATGGCCTCTTCTCAGTTAACTTCAAATTGCTATGAATCAACATGCCCTCAAGCTCTCTCTATCATCAGATCCACAGTGATCAGTGCAGTTGCCAAAGAGCATCGCATGGGCGCGTCCTTGCTTCGTCTTCATTTCCATGATTGTTTCGTCAATGCATGTTTCTCATCTTTATCATGTTTCTCACTTCCAATCTCATGCATGAACAAATACATTAAATTAAATTCAAAAAATTTATTTGATCAGCATGCATTTAGTCTCCTGTTCGATCAATGGGTAATTTTAGTAGAGTCAAAGCATTTCTGTGTTCCATATATTTAGTTCTTTAGAGATTTGTTTTAGAAGAGAAAAATAAGACATCTCAATCTTTGATTAGAAATCAAGAAAATATACTTTATATATTATATCATTTATTTTGTGCGTGCATATTCTATAGTTGATACTCTTATTAATGGCTGGGAGGACTCAAATCCAGAGTCTATATTTTTGGCAAACTTACGATCTACTTATAAAAAAATTGGCCATTTTATTCTTTTATCGTAAACTTTGTCATTTTTTTCATAAATTATATTTAATTATCTTTTTAACGTAGGTATAAGATATTTAATAAAAAAATTAATAATAAATTTCTATTTGTAGCACCATATTAACAATTTGATGTGCGTATGGGAAGGGAGGGGAGTACGTGTAAGTTCTCATGCATGATTCTTGTTTCCGTGTCTAACCTGACTAGCATGCATGCAATCAAGTATATATGAGTGCGAATTTTAAATTCAAACTGCTTTTGTAAGAGACTGAAAAATTGTTTGTCGCAGTAGGTGGAATGCAAAGAAAGGAAAAGTAGACTAAATAAATGTTTTTTTTTAGTGCCGTGGTAGTTTCTATAGCAAAAAATTGAATCTCTAATATTTTAATAGGATAGCTACATATTACTATTGAAGTTGGTAGCTTTTCTTTTACCATATGATGTTTCTCATTGTCACGAAGAAATGTTGACACGCATATTCAGGTTAATATACAAGATGTATACCTTCCTAGTTATATTATTTTGTCTATTCAAGAGGATGAATAACACTCCAGCCAAAGAAAAAATATTAATCTTTAAAATTAACTAAAATCATTTCTTTAATCTTCGAGTTGTCATGGAAATAAAGCTATTTAGTATGCGTTTTAATGACATTATTGGAAGCATTGTAAGAACAAATTAAATTAAATTTTTATCTTTATAACTTGTAGGGATGTGATGCATCTGTTCTGTTGGATGACACTTCGACCTTCACTGGAGAGAAGTCAGCTGGTGCAAATGTGAATTCTCTTAGAGGTTTTGAAGTAATTGATGACATTAAAACTAAAGTGGAGGCTGCTTGTCCCGGAGTTGTTTCTTGTGCAGATATTCTAGCTATTGCTGCCCGTGATTCCGTTGTTACAGTAAGTTTTTAAAATACTATAATAAATGCAGATAGAATAAAGAATAATGAACAAGATATATAATAGTATAATAATGATATACATTTGTTAGCTTGTTATACGATCTTATAGATCATCCCTCTTGTAGTTTGTAAAATCGAAACAACTTCTAGATATGAGCTGTTGAGAACAATATATTGGCTACCTATATTAACACATTTTGAAACAATTTCCAAATCTTAATTTTAGATAAAGTACTGAGTAAAAGCACATGAACGTTTTATATATAATAAGTCACTACAGTTAGTAAAAATTTTATTTAAAGCTTTAATTAATTAACTGGTATTTTTGCTCTTGACATCTCAGTTGGGAGGTCCATCATGGAATGTTGGGTTAGGCAGACAAGATTCAACCACGGCAAGTAAAGATGCTGCCACTAGGGATATCCCATCCCCACTAATGGATCTTAGTGCCCTTATATCTGCTTTTGACAATAAAGGGTTTAACACCAAGGAGATGGTAGCCCTTGCAGGTAAATTTGGAGAACATTCATATAAATATGATAATATTTAGATAAGTTCCTTATGTTTTTGTTATCAAATTCTCTTTTTTAATAACAAAATTTTTTATTGAATGTGTTATAAAATTTTAAATAAATATTAACATGTTATTTTTAATTGGAGAACTTGACTTTGATTTAAGTATTGTCGTGTAAATTAGATGTGTGATTGAAAACACGTCAAAAAATTTGTAACCACGAATCTAATCTCTATACTCCCTCAAAATTTTCATGTACAGGAGCTCATACAACGGGGCTAGCCAGGTGTCAACTATTCAGAGGTCGGATTTACAATGAAAGTAGCAGCATTGAGTCAAACTTTGCAACATCACTCAAGTCAAACTGTCCAAGCACTGGTGGAGACACCAACCTTTCCCCACTTGATGTCACCACAAGTGTGATATTTGACAATGCTTATTTCAAGAATCTGATCAACAAAAAGGGACTTCTACATTCGGATCAGCAGTTATTCAGTGGTGGCTCTACAGATTCTCAGGTCACTGACTATAGCAACAACCCTACAGCTTTCTATGTAGACTTTGCTAGTGCCATGGTGAAAATGGGAAACCTTAGCCCTTTGACAGGGAAAAGTGGCCAGATTCGTACTAATTGCCGTAAAGTTAATTAAAAAAGTAAAATAAGATGGGTAAAACAAGCTCATTCAGTCACAATATATAATGAATGTTCATGTATTATGGTATTTCCTAGCTAGTGTGTATGTTTATTGATAATGATCTAAGAATCTGAAGTATAAGGTGTTGCATGTGGTCAGAAGCTCTAGTTCTCTCTAAATAGAGGGGAATAAAGGAAAGTGTGGTGGCATGGATTAATTGAAATTCTGTGGTTTGTTAATTAATGTCTTGTATCATCGTTAGCAAGCAGAAATTTTCAGCACCTTATAACTTTTGTACTAGTATTACTTGTACCACTATAATGCATTCCTCGTGCCTCAATTTGCACCATGAAAGATAACCAAATTTGGTGATTAAATCACTCAAATAAAGAGAAAAGAAAAGAAGAATGGTTCTTTTTCCACATTAATGTTACCTTTTTCCTTCAATAAGGTAGATGTTTTTTCTTTGAGTTTCATCATTTTGGGAAACAGAGAAAATACCCCCATCTCTTAATAATGAATAATTTGAACACACGATCTTGCAACCAACCAGACTAGCAAATTTGAGATGATATAATTTATTTTCTCCATAAATTTATCAATTGGATAAAAAAAATCGCTACTACTCTCAAAATGGACACTATTACCTTCTAGGAATTTATCAATTAGATAAGATTCTTTTTTCATTCGCTAGAACAGAATTGAGATATGTTTTCTACGAAAACATCAATCAAATTGAATCATTTTCCTGGATTTTCAGATATAACCTTGACTTTATAAATGCAACTTCCTATAACGTGCCCTGAAGATTTTAGTCAATCGAAAATGAAAAAGTCAAAGCCTTGGAGTTTGCCCCTAAATTTCTGACAGATCTTATTTTTTTTATAAACATTAAAAACTTTCAACTCATCAGTGTTTCAATATCTCAGATCGAATTCTAACATCTTTTAATATATAGTCAACTGTAAAAAATCTTAACTTTTGTGGATCTAAGTCTAATTAAGGTGAATCTGGTTTCATGTTTTGGTTACGTAATTTGCAGTTCAAAACCAGAGAAAACCCACTTTAATTATCAGAACAATGACTCTTCCGCCACGTTTATATATCGGATAATAAATATTCAAATATAAGTCTTGTATATGCAGAAATAAATAGCTGCAGAGGAAATGGAATCAGTTGTTGCATTCTAGTGTTGGAGCTATTCCTTCAAGTATGGCAAGTGTACCAAATCTGTTGCAAGTAATAATCGATAGAGTACGGAATATTGTCCTCAAAGGACAATTCAAATATATTAATTAATAAGATATAAATTAATTGACCTTATATACAATAGAATTGTTAAATAATTTGCATGAAATATTAAACAATAATTAAAATATAAAGCACTAAAGTAAAATATGATAAAAATTAAATTAAAAAGCTGGGATTGAATTTCATCTATCTCCCCCTCTATATACTGGTAATTCAGTAATAAATATAGCAATTATTTCCAATGAATCTAATGCAAAATACAAAAGTTATATATTTCAATTCCTTGAAAATGTATTCCTAAGATAATTTCTCAAATATTAATTCGTCAAACAGTTAATAAACTATTCAGCATTAAAATCAGGATTTAAAAGCAATCAACAACTTGAAATATATTCCTAGAACAACCAGTTATTGAGTAATCTCAATAAGATCTAGATCTAAATAATATCTTCCCAAATACAACTCAGATCTGAACTCCAGAAACTGTTAAATAACTAGATTCAACCATTAAAGATTTACATAGATTACTGAGAATATATCAAGTTTAAAGATTTATATTCAATCTCATACAAGGTTTAGCTGCTCATGGTAACCATATCAACAAAAAATGGAGATACAAAAAGGAGAAAACATAAAAAACCGAGTATTCCTACTCTCTTTCTATGCCTTGCGCTGTTCTGGACCTTTGGAAATGGTTTTGGAACAGTAACTCTTCACTTGAACATAAAAATTGCCTTTTATACTGGTCTACTCGAGCTTCTCTTGCTACAGCGACATGTCCTTGCTGTAGCAAGAAATTGAGATATAAATTAGGTCATTTTGTTTTCTTCTCGCTGCAGCGACACACAAGACTCTTGCTACAGCAACCACTTCTTGCTGTAGCGACATGGGAACAGATTCACCATCTTTTTAGTACGCATTCTCACTGCAGCAAGTATTTCTCGCTGCAGTGAGAAACCTGGAGAAGTTAATTTTTTTGCAACTTCATGCTTTAATTACTCCTCCTCTGTCTTTTTCTAATCTTCTTCAACCTTAAGTGATGTTTCTCTTGTGATTACAGCTACAAAATAAATCAAAAAGAGATTAAAACACTAAAATTACATTCATTTCTAAAAATATATATGTATTTGTAAAAGTTTCAAGTTTGAAGAGAATTTAACAAAATAATCCAACTTTTAACACAAAAGTGTTCAAATTACCATCTCAAATCACTTATTTTATACACTTATCATCTAGTAGCCAATTGTGTTAAGTTGACATTTTTATTTTCATTTTCCTTTCTTATTTACAAGACCAAAATGCAGTTACTAGTTAATTTCTTAGGTTTTGTGAATTCTAGGAGTCCATATCCATAATAATAAAAACAGTTCATCCATAACCACAAGCTTATAAAAAAAGTTGATTTAATTAAGTAATTAGTTTCTAAAAATATTATTATTTTTTGTTTTAGTTCTAAAAAAAATTATTCAATTTTAGTTCTCATATTTAACAATATATATATATATATATATATATATATATATATATATATATAGTTTTAGTCTCTTATCAACGACCGCAATCATGTACTTTTTGTATTTATTTAGAGACTAAAATCAAATAAATTTTTTTGTAGAGAATAAAATAAAAATTAATAATATTTTTAAGGATTAATTATTTAATTAAGAATAATGTTTATGCACAAACTACAATTGTCCGTTATCTTAAGGTTATTGACATGGGCTGGGCAAAACAAACTGAGAATTAAGTATAAGTTTTGAAAGGGATTATATCATGTTTTATAAAATAATAAATATAAAATGGTGTATTTTAATATTTGGAAGGTTTTGGGTGGTTGCCTCTCATCACATACATAAATTTTCTGTGCAAGAAAGTAGGTGAGAAGTGTGTGTAAAATCTCTGTCAGGAATATATAAAATTTAGAGACGACTGTCAAAGGAAATAGTCTATGGATTATGATTAATAAGAATTCCTTTACTTCCCAATTAAGAAAATAAGAAATAATTATAAATATATGTATCTTTGCACTGCCTGATCTTGACAATAAACATGTCCCATTATCCCGTGTAATATTATATAGTTTGCTAATATATCAAATAAATATAATCCATCTAATGGAAGGAATTATAAAATGTAAGAATATTTAATGATAATAACTGAAAATAATTAAGTATTACAAAATTTGAATTAGAGTCGTGTCATCCTTCAGTTAATAATATTATTGTCTTGAATGATAGAAATTGTTGTACAAACATAACTAATTAACCACAAACTAGCTCTCACATCTAATCAAATTTGAATTCAATAGTTTAAAGACATATATCTGAGACTAACTACAATTGTTTGAATTATAATGTACCTATCTGATGTTATACCAAAACAACCTGACGCTGAGTGACTATCATGTATCAACCTCCAAATTAAAACCTCAGTTTAGTACGTGGTAATTAAGGACCAAATTTAAATTGGCAGCATCTTTTTGGAAGGTTTTACAAAGGGTGTTAATTAGGCCACATTTATTGGGGCATTAGAAATTTTTTTATATCTTTGACCCAAATTAAATTTGAATAGTTTTAAGTACGGATGGTTTCCAATTAATTAATTATTAAACTAACTCCTTAACCTAAAGCTTAGGTTATAAGTGGATGATCAGAAAGTGATAAAAATTTTGAGTAAAATAGAATTTTTAAAAAATATATTAATTTATTATTGTTCTTGTGGTAAAATTATGTTAGACATGTTAATTAACAGCTGATGTGACAAAAAAAAAAAAAAAAAGACACAAGATGGAGTTACTCCCTCAAAAGAGTTATGTAGATCAGCACTACTAATTATTACCAAAAAAAATACAATAGTTATACCATGTGCCAGTAAAAATATAAAATAACATGATATTTTTGTTACTAAAAAATAAAAAACCTTCCCTTGGTGAATGTGTGATTTTTTTTCTTTTATAAAATGTCATATCACTATTTTTTTTAGTGAAATATATGTTCTTATTTACATTAAGAATGTAACTCGTTTTTAAACTAAAAATATCTAAATTTATTAATAAAAATATATAAATTATAAATGCTTTAAAAGTATATATTATAAATTCTAAATTCTTAAAAATATATAATAAAATTAATATGTATGTAAATTCTTTACATATACTTTCTCATAAGAAAATCATTTTACAATTATTTATAAAAAAAATTAAATTGAAATACTCATACATATTGCACGTACTACTACTAATTAATATATATAAATCATATATATTAGTGAATCAAAACTTAATTCATACACACATATTTCATGTAAAATTAAAACTTGAAACACTTCTTTATTATCGTGGTTACAAGCGAAACATAAACTTTAATATAAACACTTCCAAGGCACAACGCAATTAGTCTCACAATGAAACAAATAAAAGTAATAATAGTAATAGCAACACATCGCACATTGAACATTCTTCTTCACACTTCACGGTTCATTATTCGAACCTAGAGTTCTTATTGTCAACAATATAAACAGTTCATGATAATATACATATGTATAGAAATTATAAAAATTGGCACATAACTTTGTATGAAACAGTTGGTCCATTGTTGATATCCTTAATTTATTTCTTCTGTTGTGATCCAGACTTGTAATTATGCAGTGCTAATAGTTGACTTTTCTGCAATTATACCTGATCTCTCCCTTATCCCCAATAAGAGGCTTCATGTTACCCATCTTAATAACGGAAGCTCCAAAGTCTCTAGCAAAAGCATAAGGGTCATTGCTATATAGTTGCACCAATCTATCACTTTCACAATCAACACCTTTGAATAGCTCTTGATCAGAATGGAGGAGACCCTTTTTATTCAACAAAGCTGTATAATATGTATTGTCAAATTTTGCAGGAGATGCTGCATCAAGTGGTGATAAACTATTGTCATTGCCACTTCGAGGGCATGAATTACGCAGAGTAGCTGCAAAACCAGGGTCTATGTTGGTGTCATTGTAGATTCTGTCCTTGAAGGAACTGCACTTTGCCAATCCAATGGTGTGGCCACCAGAGAGGACCACAAGGTCTTTAAGGTCCAGCCCATGAGATTGGAAATTTGTAAGAAGCTGTGAGTAGTTCAAGAATGGAGGGGGAAGATTGAGATTTGCAGCATCCCTGCTTGCATATCTTGCATCTCTTCTCCCTAATAACACTTGGTACCAATATTGTGGACCCCCCAACTGTTATTAGTTAACACATCATGCAAAAATAATTAGTTTTCATTTTTATTTAGCTGTTGTTGCATACAGCAAGAATATATACATATACATACATACATATATATATATATATATATATGTATGTATGTGTATGTATGTATTGTATTCAAATTAAGATTGAAGTTTCATTTTAATAACATATACTAAATTTTTTATTATATGAATTATTGAAGTAAAATTTTAACTTTAATTAAAGTACAATAGAAAAACATTTGTAATGTTGTAGTTGAATTTTGTCCATACATATAGAATTAATGAAAGATTAGGAGAAGATAACACTCACTATGGCTACAGAATCACGAGCTGCTATAGCTAAGATATCTGCACATGATACTAGGGGACGTTGGCAAGCATTGTCAGCCGCTGCTTTAATTTCATCAACCACATCAAAGCCTCTAAGTGAATTAATATTTGGAAATGCAGTCTTCTCGCCCACGAAGAAAGGGGTGTCATCTAGCAGAACTGATCCATCACAGCCCTGTACATGGACATTTCAGGTTCATGGTATAAAAAGTGATACGTCATATATATATATATATATATATATATATATATATATATATATTCATGTTCTTGTTTCCATTAACCTTCAGCTATGGGCCCGTTTATAGTGTTCGGATTTTTTGTGATTATGAGCTCTGACTTCCTTACGCATCATTTTACAATTTACATCACATGTTTTATTTTGCAACTTGCACCATTTAAAATTATTTGTTTGAAACAATAATGAAATTAAGAAATTAACTTGAGCTAGCCAAGTCTGACACTATATATATGGAGTATATTATTAGGTAGGATATTGTTTTCATGAACAACTAGTTTAAGCATATAATAATTTAAATTAAATTAAATTAATCTGGATCGTATTTATATGAATATTAATCTGGATCGTATTTATGGCTTCAAACATTGGAGAGCACCTTGCAAGGGGATTTTTCTTGGGTAAGAAAGTTAAATAATTAAGTTGGTCTTTTTGATATGACATGCAATTATTTGGTCTCTTAAGTAGTTACGTAACGGAATCAGAATTAGGAATGAGTCATTTGATCAATTCTATAGTTCTATTGGACATAATTAAATAAGATCTAGGACTTGGTTTTCAACTCCTATCCTAATTTCTTCTTATTGAGGTATCAGACTCATTTAAGGTAAATTTTGAAAGAGATGTTTATAAGAGAAAAAATTAGTATATATCTTTTACAAATTAATAATAATTTATAATTTTTTATTTTATATAAAAAATTATTTAACTTCTTTAAAATTCGAGAAGATAAGTTATTTTGAACTTAAAAAATATTATATTTTTATGATAATTTTTTTTATAAAATTTTTTTTAGACATTTACTTAAATCGGGTCTTAGCCTTATTCAATCCACCTAGCATTGTTGCTAGTAACCATGAGATAGTAAATGAGTTGGAGTACTCCCATTATTAAGAATAGCAACACAGACAAGAAAAGTGGCCAAGAGTAAATCATAGAACTATTTTGATATGAATAAAGATAGTTTACACATGATTGGATTTATTTGAATGAACCGAAAAATTAATTAATGGGAAACAAGCTAGACAACAATTATATTCAAAATTATTCAACTAATGGCACTTGAACATACACACACATCAATGTATATGTATATATTATGAATTTATGTAACTTACATTCACAAAGCAATCATGGAAATGCAATCGAAGTAAGGATGCTCCCAAGCGTGATTCACGAATAATTGCCTGTTGAACAACTGACTTAATGACTGGCAACGCCTGAGGGCAAACTTTGTCATAATAATCAGGAGTGAGCTGTGCAAAGTTAGGGATCAGAAATGTTGCCAAGGTGACCATAGCAAGAACAAGGGAAGATTGGAGATGAGAATCCATTGTGTTATGCTTTTTGAGGTTTTGAGTTAAGATATTGCTAAATAAGTCTAGCAAGAGTGATGATTTATATAGAAGGAAAGTATAAACTAGCTAGATCCTGGCCTGTTTGATTACTTGTTTGAGTTATCAACATATGTAATATTTTAGTACATAATATACCAACTGGTTTGCGATCAGTGCCGTTGACAAATATCATAAGAATTACACAAACATTGCTCCCACCAACTCTTTAGATATAGATAGTCATGATTAACTCTAGCGTATGGGTATATTATACAGATACACGTTTTAATTATATATCTTAATACTGAAAAGAATATTAAAAAATAATTAAGTGATGAATTCACGACTTGATCCTTTCTCAAAATTGGATAATTAAAGTAATTAATTTTATCTATATAATTAAACATTAAACGTTGTACGATTAACGAGAGAGAACTTAATATCAATTTTTTAAAGAGAACTATATTGATGTCATCTTATATAATAAAAATTTCATTATATTTCTTATACTTCCTATTTCACAAGAATTAAGCCATTGGTTTAATATTTTTATTTAATTAAAATTATCACTTGATTTCTTGTTATATTCCGTAGTTCTCTTATTGAATTTTTATTTATTTTAAGTTAAAGGTATTTAATAAAAAAAATTAATTCATAACATCTTAAATTTTATAAGTGATAGGTAAAGGGTAATAGATAAAAAAAAATGAAAAAAATTACTTTTATAAAATTAAAACAACATTTTATCTGAATAATTAAATTTTGTTATCGGAGCTGTTGATTCTCACTAAATGACTAGGTGCATCTGAAGTACAACTATGACCGTATTTGTGTTTATAATATTGCTATTGTTTAATTCTTATAATTTGGTAATCCTATAATACCTTAAATGCAATTTCAAATTGTTCATATAATTTGTACACAACTATTTATATTTTTAAAAATTTAATAATTTTATTCAAAGTGTTGGATTGTTTAAAATAAAATCTTACGAAGTATAATTAATTAGATGATGTAAATGTCCTTTTTAATTCATTACCAATGTTTGGGTCAATTTTAATTTTTAAAAGGAAGTTGTAATTTTGAAAATTATACTTTTTCAAGTGTTAAAACACTGTCAAGACTTTGTTACATCTAATAATTTGCTTGGCTTTAAGTGAAACTGGGTTCTTTCAAATCTTAAACTTAGACTTAATCAAATGCATGCATGTTTAGAAATGTATATTATATATAAAGAAATAAATGTTTCTCTAAAAAATTATAATTGTTTTTTTTGCAAGAAATGGAATAAATTTTAAATATTTTTCTAGATTATAAATATCTTCATTGAAGATTATTTTATTTGAATCGTATAGAATTATTACGAGTAATAAAATTCTCTCTCTAAATAGTATAAGTTTTTTATTAAATATAAATTTAATAAATTTAACTATTATATTATATAATATCATCTTAATAATTATATATTTTAAATTTTATATGTAACAATTTATAACTAATAAAGTTTTTATTCTAAATATTATAGATAAATACAATTATTGAAACTCGAATTCAAGATTATAAGTTAAGCAAAATCAACTCTTACTAATTGATATACATATTCAATAATAAATATTTATAAGTATATAAATATAAAATTAATGTATTTATAATTTATATAATATATTAATGTTAAAATAAAATATAATTAATTTTAAAATCTAATAAAAATATTTTTAATTATATAGTTAGATTGAACTTTTCAATATATAATAAGATTTTCTTCTAAATTAAGTGAACTTTTATCATTTTTATAATGTAAGAATATACAAATCTATAGATTCGTGTAATTTTCAATTAAATATAAATATATATATATATATATATATTTTATATTATTAAACATTTATTTATTGTAAATTTTTAAGATTAAAATTATAACTATAATCATAAACATAATTGGGTCATAGTTGATCGAGTTGAAGAATAAAAATTGATAAATAAAATTATAGTGCCTGTAGGCCATGTTCAACTATAAGGTCTATGAACCAAGCAATAAGAAGGTCTTACACTTCTTGCACTTTAAAAACAATTGTTCAACGTCGACTTATCGTGACGTTATAACTTTCGTCAACTGTAGCTTTGTGCTATTTAACACAAATACACTTAATTGTAAGTTATGTTTATATTTTCCTATCAGCCAATGTTAATTTAAAGCATTTTTGGATATCCATTGACAGTGGTTGGCACTCATTCTAAATGTTTATTTTGTAAAAATGAATAATTTTACTTCCAAGTATAGATGTCCGTATTGTGACATTTTCAACGGATATACAAACATACAGTAATTATTATTTTTTTCCCCCTTAAGTAAAGGGGCTTGAAATCTAACTAAATAACTAGAATCTAACATTTCAGGAGCCAGAAGCATCCAGACACATAAAAGGCAATAAGGGGAAGGGGTGATTTAGCCAAATACAAGGGTCACAATACTTAACTCTAAATTTTGTAAGCTAGTCAGCACATTGATTGATTGATTTCTCTAGAGTAAAGTTAAATATAACAAAATTAATTGTTTTGACAGAAATCTAATGTTAAAAATCAGAAAGAAAAACTTATGAGTATTGGAAGAAACACTCAAAATAAATTGAAGTGCATCTTTAGAGTCTTCTTCAATCCAAATGCAGCTAAGTTGCTTATAAGTGTAATACCCCAAAAAAGAGTCCACAACTTAGCTTCTAAAGGAGTACACAAGGAGGTGTTGCCATAAAACCTAACAATAAAAGTCCCTTTATCATTTCGAATAAGACCTCCAAAACTAGCCACCCTACTATTTGCCTTAACTGATCCATCTACATTCAATTTGAGTTGACCGTTATTGAAGAACCCATTTAACCTTAGCATGCTGCACCAAAAAACCAGAAGATTTAGAAACAGAATTAGTGCTATATGATGACAATAATTGAAATAATTAAAATTTCAAATAATTTTGTAAATCAACTGATTAAGAAAAATAGAAAGATGCTGAAAGACAAGAGAATTGTGATCTAACCAAATATGCCAAACCACAAAGCCAAAAAGTCTATTCTAATCAGAAAATTTACTATAATACTTGCTAGATAAGTTGTTGTTGACCCAGTAATCAAAATTGCAACTATTACTTTTTAGTCTTAAATTAAAAATGATTTCGCATTAGATGAGCATGTAATTACACTTCTATATTTATTAATTAATTAGTTACAAATAAACTATTACTTTTTTCTAAAATTTATCAAAATAGTCTCTACATTAAGTAAAAATTCATTTTAGTCTCCAACTTATATAATTGTTAATATTTTAGTCCCTATAATTTAAAAAATTTATCAAAATAATCTATAATTTAAATAAAATGTCATTTTAATTTTCAATATATATAATCATCAAATGTTTAATTTAAAATTTCTAATATAATTTGTTAAATGCATAATATAAAATTTAATTTTGATTCTCTATAAAAAGAAATTTTAAATTTGGGTCAAGAATCTTATCTCAAGTTACATAAAACTCTTTTGAAATTGTTTGAATTAATTCAGATCATTTTCTACATCTCTATTTTAACTTATCCTTTCCTTTCACACACTTAATTTAGATACTTTTGCAATTTTATTTTTAACAGTTCAAATTCGATGGATTTTTACCATCTCTCGTGAACAATATATGCTATATACGGAATGCAATTTTTTTTTTCATATAGTCCTACGCTTACTTTCTTTAATTACTTGATAATTTTTTATTTTTTATTTTTAATATTGAAAAAAATAATTCAATAGAAAAATTACCATGCAAAAATGGGTATTATTAATTTAAGAAAAAGAATATGGAATGCATTTTTTTTTATACTCCTACGCTCTTGTAATTACTTTCTTTAATTATTTGATAACTTTTTTATTTTTAATATTGAAAAATAAATCAAGAGAAAAATAACCATGCAAAAATGGACATTATTAATTTAAGAAAAAGAATATGTACTTGAAGAATATTAAAAATTTCCCTATTTATGATGTTTGTTATGAATTTATTTGAGATCGGTATCGACTTATGTCTCCTTGATTAAATGGAGTTATAATTTCTTCTAGTAAGCCACACTAATTTTTTCACATACAAAAAGTGATAACTCAGCTCTTTCATGAATACAACTAAAAAAAATACACAGGAAATTATGATTTTACTTTTGTCAAAGATTTTTGCTGGCATCGTGTTTGGCAGAAAGAAATATTGAGAGTGGCGGGCACTGGTAGTTAGCTTATTTACATCAATACAGTTTTATACAGTTATGTTGAGGTAATTGTATAAATATATGCCAGTAGTTTTGCTTTGTTTTTCTGTGTTTTTGTCATAAATGCCACTATTATAGATTAACCCACTTGGTAAGAGTGACAAGGTAATAATATAATACACTGCATCTAAAGTTCGATCTTTGACTGCAAAGAAAGTTTTCGTAAAATGTCTAATCATGTTAATAATTAAGTAATCCTTAGAGAGAAATACCTATAGCTAAGACAAAACTGACCCCTCCAAAAACAATATATTATTAGTCTTGCTAGCTGTGAGATTAATTTAACGCCCTATTAAAATTTAAAAATTTCGAAGCTATAGAAGTTGCTCCTTAGCCTCTTCAGAGATGTGCTTACATAATTAAGTTTACGATCTTTAATAAGAACTTAATTCAATATACGAGTAATGCATTGGCATGAAAGCAGCCTTAGTAGTAACATATAATACATTAAAATCATTACTTGGAGACCAGTATGTGTATTTTATTGAGTTTAAAATATATGAAAGGGACAGGTAAACTTCCAAGTAGTTGTTGGACAAGTAAAGCGAGTTGATGTGTTCTCAATTGATTTTTAACTCTTCTTGTGTGATGATATTACTCAGTGTGATGTATATTAGCAATACTTAATTATTGTCGCAATGAACTCCCTTCTACCCCCTATAGGAAGTCACAGTGACAATAAAGAGCGTTAACAGAAATTGATAAATCATATAACTAAATTGTAAACAAAAAGTGTGTTTCCATTTTGATTCTTAATTTGATAAGTTCGAATTTTATTTCTGTCAACATACGTAATAAACATTAATTTCTTTAAATATATTATTTAATTGTTGTGGTGAGTATCTAAACAATTATCGACTAAGATATTTTGCTCATGATTAATACAAAATCTCTTAAATAAATTTATCATACATGGTAAAAAAATTAGTTTCATATTTAAATTTAGTTGTTACTTAAATTAATTACATTTCTTTCTTATGCCATTTTCATTTTTTCTTCTTTTATGAACACTGAAACAATAATTGTATTCAACAGGATTTGAGCCTTCATTGGAACATATCCACCTGGCCCTCCACTAATCTATCACGAAAATGGTGAAAACCAGTAGCCAAATTAATTAGTCAGTTGATTAAAGTCAACAAAATTATATTTAATAGAGAAATAAGCTTGGGTGAAATTGTTCTTTTGCAATTGTTGCTCTGACACAATGCACTTGATTGTAAAGTATATGCTAATTTAATTAGTACGAGTAGATTTTCCATTTGGTGGTTTAAAATTCAGGGTATTATCACTCTGTTCACTATATCACAATTCAATCTCATCATGTGTTAGCATACGAATTAAGTTAAACGAGATTATTTGATCAAGATTATTGCACCCAGAAGGCAAAAACAACACAAGATATAATATGTGGGCATATGTAAAGCTAATTAGTGGAAAGCAAGTAATTAATCCATTGTGGGTTGAAAATGTCACATAAAACACAAACAATTAAATCTTAACATAGAGACTCAACATCTCTTGTTTAACCGATTATTAGATTTTGACACTTCATATACTCATTATTGACATGATTTTGATCTTGAACAATACACATGCAATCACATGGCCGGCTAAAATTGACATGGCTTTGGCATATAATCATACGATTTCTTAATCCTTTCCCTGCAACATTTGTTGTGTTCCAGCTTGTAAATTGCAATTCTAATTGACCCTTCTGCAATTGCATCTAATCTCTCCCTGCTTCCCAGTAAGAGGCTTCATGTTACCCATCTTGATCAAGGAAGCTTTGAAGTCTCTAGCAAAAGCCAATGGGCTTCTACCATATAGTTGCACTAATTTGTCACTTTCTGAGCCATGTCCCTTGAAGAGCTCTTGATCAGAATGGAGGAGACCCTTTTTTTGTAGCAAAGCTGTATAGTATGTAGTATCAACTCTAGCAGGAGTGGCATCCAATGATTGTAAATTGTTATCCCCTCCACTTTTAGGACATGTCTTCTTCAAAGATGCTGCAAACTTGGAGTCTATGTTGGTATCATTGTAAATCCTGTTCCTGAAGGAAGTGCACCTAGCAAATCCAATGGTGTGGGCACCAGAGAGGGCCACAAGGTCCTTCACATCCAATCCATGAGATTTGAAGTTAGAAACAAGTTGCGAGAAGCTGAAAAATGGAGGAGGAAGATTGGAGTTTGCAGCAGCCTTGCTTGCAGTTCTTGCATCTCTTCTGCCCAACAACACTTGGTACCAAAGCTTTGGACCCCCCAACTATTAACAGTGAAAGTAGCACATTGTGTCACTTCTCAGATTTTTTTAACATAACCAACATAATTAAAAAAATGTCACACCAGTATATAGTTTCAATCGTTAGGCTTGTTTGGGTATGTATAGCTTTTGTTTAATGAAAATTACGGTGTTCATATAAACATTGTAGGTGTATATTAGATACCTCAACTTTTGAATTTGTTGAATAAGAAAACTTCCAAAAAAATTGAAATACATAAGTTGTGTTCTGTAGTATATGGCATTTTTATATGATGTAACTAGAACTGTGAGAATTATAAATGGTTTGTGTAACACTCACAATGGCTACAGAATCACGAGCTGCTATGGCCAAGATGTCTGCACATGACACCACAGGGCGTTTGCAAGCTTTGTCAACTGCTGCTTTGATTTCATCAACCACTGAAAAACCTCTGATTGAATTAATATTTGGAAGTGCGGTCTTCTCGCCAGTGAAGTTTCGTGTGTCATCTAGCAAAACTGATCCATCACATCCCTGTTGTTTCAAATTATATATTCATATTGATATTTCAGTCAATTATTCCAAAGTACAAGTGACACAGTGATATAGATGTTATCTTAATTGGTTCATAATTAATATCATGGAATATTTTTTTTTATTATATGTGGAGGGGTCCTGCTTAATTAGACTACCAACACTTAGTATGTTATACATCATTTTACAGCTCACAAGACATAAAACTCCTTAGCAATAGTTCTTTCTTTTAATAAACGTCAATTAATGAAAATTGAAATTGGATTTGAAGTTTTAATTATAATGAGTTATTGTTTTTATTAGAAAAATTATTCGAAGCAAGCATCCAAGAATTAGGTGTGCAGCATTTTCCGAACAATTTAAAATTTGTTTATTGTCTGTTTTCTAACTTGAGTTCTGTCTGTTTGTGTCTTGCATATAAAATAATAAAGAGTCAATTAATTATTGTTAGCCCGAAAGTGGTTATATAAACAATAATTGCAAAATTAGCATAATATATATAGGATTGGTAGTTCAATTGGTATAATGTTCCTTTCGATGTATGCATGCAATGAACTTGAAAAAAAACATAAAAAGAAATTTCACACTTTTGTGATATGAAAAGGGATATATGAATATATATAATGCACAACAAAAATGATGTAATAAAAAATTATAAAATGGGTGTAAGTTTTAAAATATTTAAAAATTACTGTCGAAAAATATTATTTTACAGGTTGGAGAGACAAAAAGTTACACCTTTGAACGTTGTTTATTTCTTGTAATTTTCTATATCCTCTTGGTTATCTGTTTAATTATCTTTTTATTATTTTATAAAATATATATTAAATGAAAAATATATGTACTTATTATCTTGAAAACATGAAATATATTTAATATTTTTTATTTAGTAATTAAGAAAAAAATTATAATAGAAGAATTTAAAATTATTTTTTTCCAGCCATGGTTGTACATGAATGAACAAATAGCTAACTATAGATTCATAATTCTGAGACCTTAATGTAGTAGGAAATTAAACTAGACTACAATGACTCTTGATGGTGTCTAAATAGTATGTATCTTTGTACATAAATTTAACATGGGCAGAATTTTAGATGTTTTTAAGAGTTAGAAATTTCTGTTATACTTATACAGCTGAATGAACATCACATCTATATCATTAAAAAAAAAAAAGAGTTACATACGGTGATTGTTGATAAAGTTGATGTACGTAGTAGTAGTACTACATATTCAATGAAAGCAACGAAAGCATTGAGAATGTTCAATAATGCAACTTACATTAACGAAGCAGTCATGGAAATGCAAACGCAACAGAGATGCTCCCATGCGTCGCTCACGGTTAATTGCTTGTTGAACCACTGACTTTATGACTGGCAATGCCTGAGGGCAAACTTTATCATAGAAATGTGGAGAGAGTTGTGCATTGCTAGGGATCACTAATGTAACCAAGGTTACAATAACAAGCACAGGGAATGATAATTGGAGATTATGAAAAGCCATGTTGTTATGCTAATTTGTTTGAGGCTTCTGGCTAAGATATTGTGTTGTGGGTTACAACATAGCTTGCTAGCATGAGAGAGGATTTATAGAGTAAGGTACAATGTAACCACTAGCCATCTAGCCTCATTATTCATTAGTTCAATTATTTTCATCAACATGTATAATATTTTAGTTCATTACAAGCCAACTTTTTATTTTGGTCAAAACATGCCAACTTTTTGAGTTTGATAAATATAAGTTATTATTAGATCAAATAAAAAAGGGGGAAGCCACGTATATGTTGAAGCCCAAAGCCAATTCTCTTCAACTTGAAAACCATTTGCTTCAAATACAGAAGAAAGGAATCTCAAACTTTTATATGATGAGTTGATATTCATTACATTATTATATAGTACATTTTTATATTGCAAAAGAGCTGGCATCCAAAGGCAAAATATTTTTTTCTTCTTTGTGTAAATCTGTTTACGTAGAAACTTAATTATTAAAATACTTTCATGTTGTGAGCATTATTACATAGTTGCTATTCATTACTCGTGATTATGAGTCAATGTAACACATGCTAATAATACAGTAGGGATACATGGCCAAATTTAACAAACAAAGTTAATAATAGTCAAAAGGCATATTTGATTAGATCTTAGTTGTTTTTCTTCGTGTTTCTTTGTTAATTTTCTTTCCTTTCACTAACTATCATTTCTGTTGGGGATCAGGGGTACTAATTTTCGCGGGTACAATAATAAATTTATTTTCTAAAAGTCGAAATACTACCTTATTTTTATTTCGAAGATATAATTAAAACTGCAGTTTAAAATTTTAATTTCACTCCCAGCTTTATCAAAATTAAATTAACTAAAGATCTTAATTTTAATATTGGATAAAATAAATAATTTAAAACTAAATTGATAAAGATCACGTAAGAAGTAGCTAAAAGAAATCAGTCTGAACTATTTTCTAAAATTGTGTTATATTTAAAAAAAATTACTCCAAAATAATTTTGAATAAATAAAAATCTTATTTAACTATTTATTTATCTAATACATGTAATATAACTCTTATATGCTAATTTAAAATTTTATCAAACTTATGTTTTTTATAATTTTATATTAATTTATTATTTATTACATATTTAATTTTTATTAAGTCCAACTATAATTAAACTAATAAATTATCAATCATTACCTTCAATTCAATGACCCATCCTATGAGTATAATGCTAATGCATAGCATGCTATAGAATTGAGTCTTTTTAATTAGGACATTTAAGTTATGATTATTTTTACTATCATTGTTGTTGAAGAAGTATACAATAAACACGGACTGTGTATTTTCGAGTGTAGAAATTACTTTTAATATTAATTAAAAATATATTTTACATAAGTTAACATTCAATATAAATACAATTAATATTGTAAGTTATAGTGAGTTAAAACATTTTAAATCAGTTAAAGCTAATGTATTTATGTCAATTATAAAATTAACTGATCTAAAAAATATAAAGATAATTTTTGTCCATGTTCAAGATGAGTATGTCCGTGTTTTTTTTACAGTTTTAAAAGCTAAAACTAAGAAGCTGAAGAAAAAAATCACAGTAACAAACTGCAAAAAGAAGCTCAAAAATGTATTTAAAGGTTCATCGTCTTAATGGTTAATTGTTTTCAAATTTTGTTTAATGATTTTTTTGTGTTTTATTGGTGCAAAATTCTGAAAATCTTACATATTAAAACACTTTGTACATTAGTTAAAATTTAAATTAATTTAAAAAGATATCTTTTATATCAGCTATTTAACAACTAATCTTAAAAATATTATCACTAAATTTCTGTAAGTTCTAGTCTTTTTAACAGTAAACTTTGAAGGAGTATAATTTTTTACATATAACTTCAATTTTTGTAAATTATATCTTCATTTCATATAACTTTTTAAAATTTATTCATAACTCTAAGAGAGTTTGGAAAAAATAAATTTTAAAATTCTAATTTTTATAATTTTTTTTAATTTGTTTATACTTCATAATTTTTGTAGAAAAGAACATAATTTTATAGATGTTGATCTCATATTAATTAAGATTTAATTAATATATTTTTATTAAAACATTAACTCATAAAAAGTTATGATTTTTTTATTAGTTCAAATTTAAACTAATATAAATATAAAATGTACTTTATACATTTATTATTTTGACATTTAATCTTAAAAATTTTTATTGTTTTTATAAATTACTGAACCTTTAATTAAAACAGTTCATTGTTAACCCACGTTCGTTCACTGTTGATATAACTCAAGATTCCACAAGACATATTTTTGTTTTTAATAATGAAAGAAATGCATCCCGCCGACAAAACGATTAAGGACGATAGATATAAGATATAATTTTTTGTCCCATCATGTCTAGTTTTTAATGAATTCATCTTCATCTTATTCGTCAACTTTATATGATAATAGTAGTTGTATCGAGAATAAGTCCTATTATTGTACTCATAATTCTTGTAAAGAATTATAAAACTAATCATAAGAAATTTAATTTGTATGCTGATGAATGGAATTTTTGTTTTTATTTTTTATTTTTTTGTATTAACAGCAACCTTGGAGATAGGCCTGAGATTATGCTCACAAATAACAACAATGAACTTCATTCCAGCTTGAGTAAGGAAATTTCTAAGTTAAAAGATGGAGAAAGTGGCATGAAATGCAAACAGAGATTTTAATTATATTTTAAACCAATGCATAAAGTATGCTCTTTAATTTTCATTGCATTAACCCAAATTGTAGATGATTAATTACAGCAACAATGACAAGGAGTCTTACTCCAATCAATGGATGTTATATTATTCAACCGACACCATTGAGTTATACCAAAACCAAATCCTTTTAACAAATAAATTCGAGGCTATATTTATTTTTTTTAAAACAAAGTTAGTATATTGTCATTATCTATTCGATATGCATGTGTGACTCCTGTTATGATGTGGCATAAAAATAAAAGAAGAAATAGTTGCCAAACCAGCTACCGGAATTAAATACAGAACAGGCTTTGAGACACGCTCACAACATAATTTATACAAGCTTCTCAATAATTATTTATAATTGAAAAAAAAAAAAGTACGTAAAATGTGTAAAATTTCTTGAGTAAAATAAAAATTAACTTGTATATCTTAATTGTTTCAGGAAGACTATTCTCTATACCAAAAAACCCACAAGTGTTGGTTGGAATTCTTTTGGACACAAGTGATCAAAGATTTCCTATTGGACAATATAGGAAACTTGGGTTATTCAAATAATGTTGAAACTGATCACTTAAAAATATTTACTCTCATAATTACACACGATACGTAAATTGTTCTCTTTTTCTTCTTGTGAGAGATACATAAAACCAAATTAAGAACTACCGGTACATCGACATCAGAAACCAGTCATCATTCCATAAATCACACGAGTAATCAATCTCGTCATAGATGGTGGATTTAGGTGGACACTTTTAGCTCTTTTCATGTAAATATTATTTTGCTCTCTTGTTCCTCCTATATAAATAATATAACAATCACTGTTTAACTTTTTAAGGTTAATAGCCCGTGCTTGTTAATTTGATTGATCTTCTATCAAATAAGAGTTGTGAAAGGAAAGTGAACAAAGTGGAAGTGTACAAATCACAGTTGTCGAACATGCAAGATAACTAGTGGAATTGTACAAGTTTACAATTCTAGTAGGAAAACAAGGTTGTCCAAATCAAGCTTGTTACATGATGAAAGCTGCACATTCATGACCAAAGAATTCAACATGTTCGGTTTCTGAAAACCAGAAATTCATGGCATCCAGACAGTGACTCTTGAAGTTCAAATCGTTTTCTGCAAGTCTGTTCTGTTATCACTTATCAGTGTTATATGTAAACTGTTATATCACTTATGTGCTCATTTATATGTAAACTCTTATGCCTTTAGTTAAATTATTAGCATGATGATTCTGTTTTGTTGATTTCTAATATGGTTTGAAACAATGGGAACTTGGGATGTTGTACGAAAGTTAAGCTTATTAAATGCATTGTACATAATATTTTTGTAGTTAAATAACCAAGTTATGTAACTACGTTATGAACAGAATTATGTTGCTTGAGTAGTAACATTTCCCCCAATTAGATTTTTTAAATATTATTTTTTTTTCGGTAATCTCATACAAGTTTACAAGTTGAACTACAACTCAACCCCACTGATGAACCACGAGTTTATATAGATTCTCAAGTTTGACAACCTTGGTCCATCTGTTACAAAGAAAACATTAAAGGAAAGGAGGGGAAGGGGAGAGGGGGAATTGTGAGAATACATAGGTCAAATTCCTTTGCAAATCTAATCTAAACACACCCTTAAACAATCCATGGGTAAATTTTACCAAACAAAGAAATTGTTGAGGAAGTTAGTTATTGCTAAAAATTAGGGACTAATACTCTACCCAGTTACACCAAACTCTGGAAAGAGCACAATGACAAAGCATCTGTTTTTTTTTTCCTGTGCTCCTTTACAGTGAGTATAAAAGCATTTAAACTAAACTTTCATGAAGCTTGATAATAAAAAACATAACTTATCATCAAGATTGTATTAATCAATATATTTTTGCTACTTCAAGCCAGTTACTTTGCAAAAACAAGACAAATGATCATCTAATAAACTGCTACATGATACTGGGTATTATTCCTAGAATAAAAATGATGAATCAAAGGGGACTAGAATTACATTGTGATGTGCAATAAAACTAGCTACAAGATCACTCTTGGTGAATGTTCTGTATAGCTGCAGTGATACTTTTACAGTCATATTCCAGGATCTTCATCCAGTTCTCAAAATCTCCAATTTCCTACGAGGGCAGGTGAAAGTTAATAATAAGCTAAGAAAATTTTATAAAAACAATAACTAAATAATAAGTTAAGCATAGAGCACCATTTAGATGACTTGACTTTGACCATTAACATGGTATGGTACTACAAAGAAAATACAGAACTTATTATAGTATAGATTATAATAAGAGTAAATATTCAAATTGGTACCTTAAAGTGACACTCTGTTTACCTTTGAACCTGAAAGCTTTGGTTAGTATACTTGGCATCAAATATGTTAACTTGCTCACAATTTAGTCCTTTTTGAGAACTAAATTCCTCAAAGTGTAGATGTGTATAATTTGGTTTGCTCTAATCTTAAATATATTAATTTTTCTTATATTTCACTTCCATTTGCTTCCATCTTCTGTAAGGGAAAAGACCATAGTATAGTTAACACATTCAGGGACTAAATTATTTAAACTGAAACTTTCAATGATCAAAGATAAACAAAATTTCACTCTAGGGGATCAAATTATATATTTACTCTTACAATAATATATGCCAAATTCAATCATCCAGTAAACATTAATCTTCTCCCATCGCCATCTTTATACTCAATCATATGATTCTGCAGAAGGAGTCTAAAAAGAACAATTGTAGTAAACTGTTTATCGTATGGTCACTCTGCTACCAGATTGAAGCCTATTTCCACCATCGACCTTAAAATTACAACTAACTTAATTACAGGGACCTTTACTAACCATAGAACCAAACCTCTCAAATGTTTCATAAATTAAAAAATGCGAAAAAAGGAAACTCAAAAACAGTGTCACTAATCTAAAGCACAATGAATATTTGGCAAGAAGAAACATCACAGTCTAGGATTACTTAAGTTCAATTTATCAGCCCAATTACAATAAATTCAAGAGTAGGCATGTCAATCACAGCCCTTAACCTGTACCCTAATAAAAAAAATCACAACAACAATAATCATTTACAAATAAATGGCACCCGAATAATCATAATCTAGGTTGTTGTTTCGTTATATTTTCCTCCCAATCCACACAAACTAACCAAAGCCATGTCAATGTACAACACATAATAAATACATTAAATTTTAAAATGAAACACATTTCAAATTACAGTAAATACAACACATTGATTGATATAAAAACAATGGGGGCACATTGTACACACACATATGAATGATAAGAAGTGAGTAGTAGTACCTTGAGAGCGGTGTTGAGAGCATGAGTGGCAGCAAGCCATTGATCGGTTTGCTTCATGAACCTTGTGATGGTGGCAGAGAGAGTTCGAATTTCGAGCTCAATTCGCTTCTGGTTGATGAATGAATCTTGGACCCCACCATTGACGGCTTCCACCAACAGATCAGAGACGCGTTCGGCTTTTCTTATTGCATCCTTCTTGGCTTTCTCTGCATACCCACATGGAAAAACTTGGTGTTAGGAATGGGAAAGGAAACAAAATCGAAACTTGAAGGAGGGGGAAAGATACCTGTGTGATGGGCAAGGATGAGAGAATTGTGGTGGTGACGATGAAGCAATTGGTGCAGAGAAGCTTCTAACCCCTTTGCCTCTGCGTCCATTCCCACGTCACTTCTCTCATTCATTCTATTCTTAAACTTGGATTGTTTTGTTAGGTTTTATCTAACATGGACCATGTTCAAAGTTCCTCGCATGAACCAGTAAATTTCATCGTAGGATACATATTTGTTAAAATCAATGGTTAGGATGCATCCATTTATTAGTCATTTACAGTTTTAAAAATAAGGTTTTTATAATGATTTGCAATTCCATCCCTTATGAATTTGACTACACACAAGGTTTTTTGTGTGTGCTGCATTGAAATCATCATTTAATGGTTCATGGAGTACCCTTTGCATTAGATCATCGCAATACCTTTCTCTGCCACCATCAATCACAGAGAACACTAACGATCACCCAAGACCACATTACAACATCTCTAACAAATCAAAGAAAAGGATTGAAATGCAGTTTTCTTATTCATGAGTGTCTGTAAAAAAATTATCATTAAGGACTAGATAGCAAAAAAAAATCCAATTGGCACACATGAGAAAGTTTGAACCATACCCATGTTCACTTGACAAAGAGTCATTCACTGCTCACTACCATGTCATATCAATCAATACGACTTTTTTAATAAAATTTTATTAATTATTAAATTTAATATTACAAATTAAAGTTAACAACTTTTTTTTTTTAGAGTATGTTTAAGACTTGAGTTTAAGAAAAAAAAAAAAGAAAGATTAACTCTAATTTATGAGTTGTTAATTAGAAGGAGAAAATTTTAAAGATTTTTTTAAATCTTTCAAAGTCTTTTTAACTGTTAGTTTTTAAGTGCTCTTGATATGAAATTTTATAAAATTTTCTCTCTGACTTTTTTATTTTTTTCATTATTAGAATTTTATTTATTTTTTAAATATTAATTTTTTAAGTGAAAACTTTTTCAAAAAAATATAAAAAAATAAAAATATTAATTTTAAAATTATTAATTTTTAAAAAAATATATTTATTTTTTTATTTTTTATAAAAATATAAAATATAATAATATCATTTAACCTCTCCTCTCAATATTAAATATCCAATCAAAGAAATGGTTTAATCTCTTTCTTTCTCCTTTTCTTTTCCCTCTTCTCTTTCTTTTTCTAAACTCTTTCTCTCTTTTCCTTGCAGACTTGCAAATAAAATTTTAGAGAACATGTTTGTGAATTCTAGTACAAATCAATAATTATAAAAAGAACTACGGATAATGTAAAAATAGCATTTATAGTGAACAGCAAAATTTTATTTTAACACCACTTTTATAGCAATACTTATAATTTAGGCTAAAAGTGAGAAAAAAATATAAAATAAGATAAGTAATATGATCAAAACAGAAAAAAAAAAAAAGAATTATAAAAAGTATATATTTAAGAATTTGTTATAAGAATGTTAAATTTACAGGTTTAGAGAATTTGATGAAGTAATTTATTAGAGCTTACATACTTTACACCATTGTTTTTCTTATTTCCATCCAAAAGTGTGTAAATTTTGATTGAAAATTACATCATGATCCACTTAACAACATATTTATAATAATACTTAACACAAAACTCAAGATTTGTAGTCTTATTAATTATATCAGATTCAGGCATTTTTGATTGGGTAACTTTATGAACTGTTGAGCTTTCTTGACTCTCTTGCCTCAGCTAAGGCATCTTCATCGTCAACTTGCCAAAATGTAGGTATAATAATAGATCTTACCCGGTTAAGATAAGGAATGGTAATGAATTAGACGCCACAGAATGTTATAACATTCATCTTTATAATTATATTTTTTTTAAAAATATTTGTACTTAAATTTATATTTGTATCAATAGTAATTTTAATATTTATATTCTTATTTATTAGGTATATATATGTGTGAATCATATTTGTTATATTAGTTAAAATTAAAACATGTAACTTGATTAAAAAATATAATTAAAAAAGATTTAATTCCTAATAAAAAACATTACAAATAAAAAATTAAATTAATTAAAATTTATTTTACAAAAACTACATTCTACTTATAAAATATAATCACGAGTCAAGTAATAAATATTAATATCCGTATTTTATTTATAAAATTTTATTAATTATCCATTAAATTTTATACAAAATTTATCTTTGTTATATAATATAAATATAATAAAAAAATAGGACAGGGTTTAGGCAACTTTTGAATAGTCAAACTCGGCACATATTCTTTTTAATCATAACAGGCTAACAGCCAAACAGATATCTGCCATAGAATTTCAGTATTGAGGACAAATGACAAGCTATCAACTTAATTCACTTCGCCAAGTTAATAATAATCTTAATCATCTATTACGTATTTTTTATTTCTTAAATAAAAATTTAATTATTTAAAAAGTTAGATCCAGTGATAATATTTTATTAATAGGAAAATAAAAATCTTAAATTTTATATTTTTATTTAATTTGATCCATTTTTTATTTTTTATTTTTATGTTTAAAATAAACTGCAAAAATATTAAAATTTTATTTTAATTTCAATAAATACCAATTTAAAATTTATTTTATTAAAAATATGTTTTTGCTTTTTTCTTATAAAATATTTTTATTTTAAAAAGTTATAATTTGTGAGAAAATTTAATAATCTAAAGAAGCTTTTAATATGTGTATTATGAATTCCATATTTTACTAGTTTGCAACTCTACTTTTAATTAGTTGATAAAACATTTTTTTCATTGGCTTAAAAATAAAGTGTTGTCACATAAAAAAAAAACTATAAAAGACAAAAGCTAAAACCATCAATCCAATTCAAATAACAAAAACTGAAATAAATTTGTTTAACTTTTATTTTATTTTTTTCAAACCAAACTTTTAGAAATGATAATAAATAAGGCTTAAATAAAGTATTATAGTATTTATCCTTATACACATATTTTAAAAAATTATTTATCTTATTTCATATTTGTTACTCACAATTTTTTAATTAAAATACATCTTTAAATATTTTTTTACAAACTGATAAAATATAAATATTATTATAAAATAAAGTTTATTTTATAAATAGTCTAATAAAACTATTTATCTAAAATATTAAATTATAATATATTATATATCTAACTATAAGATAATTATTTTTCTAATTTTAGTGACGGTAAAGGGATATAAGTACTATAATATCTGTAGGTATCAAATTTTACAGATATATAATTATGTATATCCAAATTCAAACCTATTAAGCAAACATATACTCTACTTATTATTATTGTTTTTTTAGCGTATCCAGTAAATATAAAAATTAATTTCATTCCTACGAATCATCATATAATAAAATTAGATGATATTTTATCTCAAATTTAATATAAACTAAACCTCAAATACCCCATTAATTTGTCTAATTCTTGATGATTAGGTGAGTTTGAGTTGCCATTTCACAACGTCCTTCTGTGTCATGCTTCCCTATAAATTGATTAGCATGTTCCCTATATTGTATCGCATATTCTTCTAATTAAGTTTACAAGCAAAATGGCACTTTCTTCTCAATATTCTGCCATCTCAACATCATCATCTACAACCACTTTCTTTATAGCTTTGGGCATGCTTTTGCTTATAGGCAGTTCTTCGGCTCCACTTTCTGAGGACTTTTATGCTAAGAAATGTCCGAAGGTTTTTTATGCTGTAAAATCAGTTGTTCAATCTGCTGTCGCTAAAGAATCTCGCATGGGAGCGTCTCTGCTTCGCCTCCTCTTTCATGACTGCTTTATCAACGTATTTTACTCCTTAAATTTTTACTTTTCTTTAGTTGCTCGTAAATTATTTCAGTTTAATTTATTAAATACTCGACTAAGTTAAATTTGATTATTTAAATATGTTAAAGCTCAAATTTTACAAATTTAATATTGACAATATTTACTTAATTTTAATGTTTAAGAGTTATATTTTAAATAAGTGACTGTAGTTTTTAAAGAAATATATATACTATTTTTTAATAAAAAATTATTTTTAACCTTAAGTCATTATGCGTATAACATTATATTTTATTATTATTTTACTTTGATTTTTAACATAAAATATTCTTTAAATACTAAATTTTAAAATTGTTAATCAGGCTAAGCTCAAGTTTTAAACCTAGTTTATTTAAATAAATAAGTTAAACTTGATTATTTTTTTTAACACAAATCAAATTTAAGCATTGAGAATGGAATCTAACTTATTCATTTACTGTTCTGATAATTCATTTTAGTGTCCAGTGGACTAGCTCATGTCATAAATTGTAATAAAACTTTCGTTGGCAAGAAAATTTTCGAAGACAAGATTTCACATCATTCATACACATTCCTTTTTCTTTAGGAACGTAAGCCGTTGCATACAGATAATCTTACTAAATTACAAAGTGTGTAATACTATGTTCTTTTTGTTACATATGTTATTGACCATTTATACATATTTTTGTTTAATTCTTTCTAAGTTTCTGGTTCTTTCATCAAGTCTTGTTGGATGATGTGACAATACCTATATCACATTTCAAGCATAATTTAGAAAATGAAGTAAAAATGTAATTGTCCAAATGCTTTCATGCATGGTTATTAACATTATATATGCACCACTTGTTTTCATGACATAGGTGTTTCGGCCAACATGCCTTAGGCCCGAACCACTCGTAGAATGACTTTTACAATATTCAAATGTTATTGGTCGAATTTGAGTCGTCGTGTAATATTATATTGTATTTATAAAAAAAATTATCAAATTTTAAATCAAATGAGTATTTAACCTATTTTTAACAAGAAATAACAGTTTGAATTACAAATGTCTTATTGCCCCTTGATATTTATATATTGAATGTATATTTACATAAAAAATATTTATCAATATAATACATCATAGTATAAACTCAAAATGTTTATAAAAACAATTTTATTTTTGTTAAAAAAAATATATATTAACAAAGCTAATCCAACATTAAAGTACAGTAAATATCAATATTTTGTAGTGCTTCCACTACTTTATATTTAACTTTGGTGTTCTTTAAACATGTACCTCATGTAGCAAAGAAATGCTTCCTTCAAAGTAATTTTTTATGTCTGTCAATCAAATTTTTGTGAAGTCACTGTTCTGTCCTATAAAGTGCCTCTCTCTATATACAACTTACCAATTGCTTGCTAACAGGGTTGTGATGGATCAGTATTACTTGATGACACTTACTCCTTCAAAGGAGAGAAGACTGCTCCACCCAACAAAAATTCTTTGAGAGGTTTTGAGGTTATTGATGCCATCAAGTCTAAGGTGGAGGCACTTTGCCCCGGAGTAGTGTCATGTGCTGATATTGTAGCCATTGCTGCCCGTGACTCTGTTGTAATTGTGAGTTCAAAACTAATACATACATACATATATATTATATATATGAATGAATTCTTAAACAAATTTCAGAAAATTGGTTGCTCATAAAAGGGTCCTGAAATATTTATGATTTTATTTGGTAAATTGGGACCTGAATTTATTTATTTATTCACATGGTTTATTCAATTTGATGATGCAGCTTGGGGGGCCCTCTTGGAAGGTAAAACTTGGAAGAAGGGATTCGAAGACAGCCAGCTTCGACGATGCAAGCAGTGGTGTGCTTCCATCTCCCTTTTCTACTCTTAGCCAACTTATCTCAGGGTTTCATGCTCAAGGCCTCTCTGCCAAGGACATGGTTGCCTTATCAGGTATATGTCTTTTTCTCTTTTTTATAATTTGGCATTTCTCTCTCGTCTCTTTTCAATTATATGACACTCACTATATTTATTGTTTACAATATTATTAATTTTCATTAATACAAAATTGATATCGTATGTATAATTATTTTTCTCTCTTATTTTTATATATATTTTTATGTAAAATTAATACATCTCAAAGATGAATGGAACAACTAAAATGATTCCTTATCGTACAACAATCACAATTGAGATGACTGTGCACAATCCAATTGATTGTGGATTTGTAGACCTGGATGTGATATTTAAACAACCGCATACATTGCATGTTAATGACGTTATGCTCTCTCTCAGCTAAATGCCATGCGACTTCTAAACATGCATGAAAGAGCCAAGTGAAAAGGAAAGCATGCTTAACGAACTAGGAAAATTAAACGATAGCATTATTGATGGGATATGTTTGAATGTTTCCACCGTTAAAAAACAAAGAAGAAGAACGCCATTTATATATCATTTTCATCTTGTAGTCTAACCACTAGCTACTCTACCTCCAGAGTCTTTCATTATTTGTAATATTTATGTCACAAATTCAGTTTATTATAAACAAGATTGATGAATACTCTTATTATTTGACAAGTACTACACGGTGAAACTCAAATATAAAAATGTTAAACTAGTTATCAATTTTATTAGTGCATCAATTAATGTATTATACAGCATGTATGCAAAAAAAGACACTTTTTCAACTAGCTTTCACTGCGTAACAAGTTTAGTCTCTTGTCAACACTTATATGTGTCACAAATGTTATTGAGGTTAATATTAGATTATATCGGGGCTGGCTTAAATTATATCTAAGCTTAAAGTAAATTTGAAAATATTTTGTTAAATTAATTAAAATGACATACTAAAATTGTAATTATTTTATTTAAAATTGATTTTAATTTTAGGCATTTTTAAGATACATAATATCTTACTATATAATTATAATTAAATTTATTGAATTTTTTAATTAATATCAAAGTCAATTTATTTAATATTTATCAAAACACTGTTAACGTTAAGTAATATTTTGTTAATTTTAGATTTAAACGCTGAAATAACATGATTATTGACATTGTTTCATAAGAATTATATGCATAGTATGTAATTAATATTCATAATAATTCAATGTTGGTTGCTTTGCTTAGCTTTCTTTCAGTATTTACAATAATAAATAACAAAATGCGTATTATATTATAATATTTATTTTTAAATGATAAACAAAAACAATCAATATTAGCTTTTAGACTTTTTTTTATCTATAAACATTGGGAGTCTCAAGTATACTTGGTCTTCTGCCAAGCCTGGATTAGAGTACTCCTATTCAGTTGATGTTGCCTTTGTGGTTTCAGGAGCCCATACAATTGGGAAGGCAAAGTGTTCAAGTTACCGATCTCGCATATACAATGACACCATCATTAACAGTTTATTTGCTATGGCAAGGAAGAAGAACTGTCCAATAACAATAGGCTCACCAAAAGACAACAATGTAGCGATGCTAGACTTCAAAACTCCAAACCATTTTGACAACAGTTATTACAAGAACCTCGTCAACAAAAAGGGTCTCCTTCATTCTGATCAAGTACTCTTCAATGGAGGATCCACCGATTCACTGGTTAGACATTACAGCTATAATCCAAAGGCCTTTGAATCTGACTTTGTTAATGCAATGATTAAGATGGGAAATATCAAACCTTTAACTGGGTCAAAAGGGGAGATTAGGAGGCACTGTGGGAGACCCAATTAAATGAGGCAAAACAAATAGATTATAATTATGATATTTTGTTTTTTTGTCTTGATAAATTTTGTTTGTGTGGATATGTTTTTTTATTGGTGCACATGTAACCCAAAAGTGGGGGAGTTCTTTAGTGATGAATTGATTTGTTAAGCTGTTTTCTCGCGCCCTTGTCAAGTTTGTTGTTGTTTAGTTTGATTTTAGGTTTGCTGGGGTTGTTGTAAGGAATTAATCACAAAACATGTTTTTGACATGTAATTCTCTTTAAGGATGTGTTGTTAGGCCTGCAACAGTTGTAACGGTTCAACAATTAAGTAATGAAATTAAATAAATCAGGAACTATTTCGACACTTATTTCTTTTTATCAAATGATGGGCAAAAATATTGTGGCTAGATTTCACCAATTAAGTTTCCATGTGCGTAATCAATATTTATTCATTAAAGCAATTCATTTATGATTTAATATTGAATTCTATCTAAATAACTCATATCTGATTTCTTGATTTATAAATCCTCTAAAACCTATACAATTAATCCTTGATGCATACATGAATAAAAAAGTCTGATGAGGTTGAAAGAATTCACGCGATCATAGACTTATTGAATTATATTAATTATAGTCATAGAACCAATGTATGAAAGAATAAAGTACTTAATTTAAGAAGTATTATTAGTGTTATTAAATTCAGCTAGGCAGATCAGTTAGATTGGTAACCAAACTTATGACTGGTTCGATTCATGTTACTATGTATATTATCCATTTTAATATGAATAATATGTATATAGTATATTTGAACACAAAATCTTAAATATACATCAAAAGTGTTGTTGAGAAATTTTCACTCTACAAATGCATGATAAGGGGCCAAAACTCACACCTCCACTGCATCAAAATATTAGTGATACCTATTTTAGTATATACATTTATCTATTTTATACTATTATTATTATTATTATTTTATTTAATGGTTGAACTAGTTATTTGCTTTTGAATACAAACTACTAAAGTGTTGAGTTACTGCAGTGGGTCATAATGCTAAATTCGCATTTTTCATTATCAAAGAGTTAATATTTCCTTAATATGACATGGCCCAAAAAATACCATACTAAGAAGACAATTTCCCCAATATGACAGTGTGCATTGGTTGCCCCCCACCCCTTCCTATAAAGACACTCAAAACCTCCACTAAATGTGTAATTTGTAACAAGTAATTGATTTGATAATGTCTAAAATATAGTTTTAATTGTCTTTTTTACACATATATTTATTTATTTGAAGTTATTCTCCTTACATTAAATGAACTCTCCGTTCATCACAGGTACGTGTGTAATAGAACTCATTTGAAGAAATAGTATTACTAAAGTCATGGATCAAAAGATAGGTGTCTTGTCTACAGAACTGGGCCCAAACTTCATATCCAACAACAGCTATGATTCAAATATAATTTTAATTCACGAACAAAAAATATTTTAAATTTTAATTAAATTTTTTAATTTAAAAAAATTAACTATCGTAAAATTATTATTTTTTTACCTGATCTTTTATCTTTAAAGTTATGATTTTTTTTACCCTATGATTAAGTTGTTAAATATTATCGACATATATCATGTTGACTTGAAAAACAATAAATGAGAAATTCTATTAGAATAAAATGATGTTTTATAAAATGCAGACAATGAAACTAGGAAACGTATTCAGTGTTTTTTTTAATATGTCAGTGAGTATCTGTATTAAATTAGTCTTAAAATTTTTATTTGGATTCAATCAGGAAGAAAATTATATCTATGTATTCCTCCAATAAGATAACCTTAGCTTAATAGCTAGGTTTGAAATTTGCTAAGTTAACAATTATTCCAACTTCCACATGAGCGTCCAAGTTCTTCATACAAATCCATATCTATCCTAATTAACCTAGGTCTACAACTGCAGGTCGACCTTTATTTTTCAGTAGTCTTGGAAAACATCTATGTATTTTTTTAATAGAAAATAGCAATATAAGAGTTGGTATTTGGTAGAGTGGAAGTGGCCAACCTCATGTGCCTGCTGTTATTGGAATGGTAATAGTCCAAGGCAATTTTTAATTAATACTACGATGATGAAAGTTGTCATGTAGATCAATTAATATATATGCTATACTAAGTGGGACGAAGATGTAGAATACTTTGTTTTTCTATCCCTTTTTATTTCAATAAATTAAAGTAAATGAAAATGAGTTAGATTAAGAGCACAGATCTCCAGCTCATTAATTTGTCACAGTGCTGTTTGAATTGAGGGAATAAGCATATAATATGTGAAAGTTTTCAAACTCCAAAGGGTACCTCGATAACGAAGTGATAGCAACCAATTGCTTCTCTTCTACCCCCTCTGGCATGCGACAACCAAATACGACGAATTGTTAAAAATTAAACTTGAAGACCAAGATAAGAATGGTGAATTTATAAATAAATTGCCATTATTACACATTTTAGTCACATATGTTATTCTCTACTTGCTTCCTGACTAAACAAAATTGTTAAAACAATGACCACACATGCAGGTGAGGCATTAGATGATAAAAGCACATTAATTATTACAATTGTTGAAACTATTTATTTCAATGTTGAAATGCCTAAAAGGTAGATGCAAATTACTTTCTCCATGGATTTTCTCTCCTTTAAACTACCAAAGTGTAATTTGTTAAAATGTCAAATCTGTTCAATAATTGTCTTTGTCGCAGACAAGCGATCAATGATTGCGTTTATAGAATTATTAAAGTTAATCCCACGTTTGAAGCAACTTTTTATTGATTGGAATTCAAGTTTGAGGGACTTTTCTCCTCAGCCTCAACAAAAGCAAATGTTGGTATGTGATTGAAGCAGCCTCTTCTCGTGAAGTTAATTACCGTCCTTGAAGAATGAAGTTTATATAATAGTTTTAAGTAGCAAGAATAGAAATTTTGCATTGGATAAAAATAAACAAGATAAACAATATAATATGTTTTAAAATAGTGATTCAAACCAAAATCAAAATGTAATAAAATTGATGAAAGATTTAAATAGAAATTTTGTATCGAACATACACTGCACTGTGGATTGTTTAAGTAGCAAATATCTCTCATGTGAATAATTTTAAATCTTTTCACTTTTATGTTTATAATAATTTTATTAGTAAATAAAGAAAATATTAAATATTTTTACAAGATGATAAATATATTTTTTATTTAAAACGTATTTTTTACAATAAAAATTATTATTAAATAAATTATTGGAAAGATAAAAGAAAGCTCCTCTTGTATAACTGTTCTTAGTCACTCTCATCCTTTTCTCCGATATATTTTCTTACCTCTTAATTGATTTTTTTTTTTTTTTCTCTTTCCAATTATTTGACTTCAACTTTACTAACTTGTCCTTTTTAAATCTCATGTGAGTTTTAGCATCATATGCTTTTACGAGTCCTAACTTTGGTGGCCAAAGCTCTTTTTATTCATATCCTGCTATGTTCTGTTTGGCACAGTTGACCAAACGGAAACATAGAAAGGCACTCCAGCAAGATAAGAAAAATAAGAAAGAAATATGGATTTATGCAAAGAAAACTAAAACTTACATTAAAAAATAAGAAAAATAAATTTTTATCCTTTTTTACCCTTTTTTTATTTTTTATTTTCAATTGAATAAAAATTATTAATTGTTGCCTATCTTTTTCTATTTTCGTTCTTCTTGTCCTAATAAAGCATTAGTGTATATTTGTTTGTACATATAATGAGGTTTATACGGATAAAAATTTGTTGCTTTCACGTTTTGGCTTTGTAACCTTTGTACTCAAGATTGATAGCCTGTTTGGGAGAATTGGAACGGAGTTTTATACCATGAGAAGACAGCATTTCAACAGATATTTTATATATTGAAAATCGTGTAAAAATTTCCGTTTTCTCATAAACCATGCAGGTCATAAATAAATGATCAAACAAACACAGCATTAATCTCTGCTCAGATGGATTAACGATGTGATAAAAACTACATATTCAGAAAGTAAAAGCAAGATACTACCTCCATCCTTTTTACAAGAAATAAAAAATTAAATCTCTAGAATAAAAAAATAATTAAGTTATTTATATTTTTTATAAATATAAATTTTATTTTAAAAATATTCATGATATTAAATATTATAATTAGTAATTTATATAATTAATGATACTAAGGATATAAAAAAATTAATAATTAATATTTTTTGAATCTATCATTTATTTTCTATAATAAGAATCAAAAAAATATTCTATTTTATTTTTTATAAAAAAAACCAGAAGGAGTAATATATAGTACTACTTTACAGGAAAAATTATTTAAATAATTAGATCAAAATAAAAAATAATAAATTTTTTTTTTTTAAATTGAGAGGGCATGTACTCCTTAATATTGTTGGTCATTCTTGAATAAATATGGTTTGAGAAAAAGTGTTTCAGTTGAATATATTTATTAAAATAACTTAACTTCAAATTTGAGTTTTACCAAGTTTAAATGCTTTCTTTTTATCTTTATACTTCACGCTAACTTTTGAGTTAATCTTTATATATAAAGACAATTATAAAAATTTAAATAAAACTTACACAGAATGAATTAATGGTGTAACATTTTTTTAGAGTCATTTTATTATGAATTTTCATGTCAATAAAAATTATTGACTTTTGTAATAATATTAAAAAAATTTACATCAATAATACATTAGAGTTAATCTCATATAAATGTCAAATTAAAGGTTAATTATTGATATTTACTAACTGGTTTTCAACTTGCTTAAGCTAACGTAATTTAAACCTATTTATATTTATCAAAATCTATATATTGAATTTAAATTCTTATTTATAAATGGGAATAATTTTAGGAATAATTTTTATTTTGTTATGTATTCTTCTTATATTTTGTATTTAATTTTTTATTTAAATTTAATTTAAATGTTGAATTTTTATATTTTATAATTTAGTATTAATAACAAAAATATTTATATTTTTATTTGATCAAAATTTCTTAAATTTAGATTTGTCAAGTAATATATATATATATATATATATATAATTTAAATTTTATTTTAATTAAATAATATCTTTGTAGTAAAAGAAACTCACTAATTTAAATTAATTGTTTGTGAAACTGCTTGATTGTTCGGATTTCATTTTATATGAAGATTTTGATTGACAAAAGGCCATTGATTAATAATTGTATGCCTATATATGCGTGAATTACATAGCCCAAAATTAAGAATTTAAAGGGAGAAATGTAATTGGAATGATAAATCATGATTAGGTACAATTTCTCCTTGAAATTATTGTGCAATTTAGTCAAATTCATATGGAGCTGGCAACTTTTTAACTAACCCATAATTTTCACGTGAAATAAGCTTTACAGATTTGATTTTTCTGCCCTACTTTCATTTTCTTTGATGATAAATCAACATTAATGCTCCAAGTATTAAATATATAGTATTAGATAGGGATCCCAATTAAGCCATCTTCCCTTAATTTGATAAAGACAGAAATCTAATAATAAGATAAAGACACCATATTCGATATTAATTTTACAGAATTTATATCCTCTTATATTATTAAGTATAGATTCATTGTGATTAATTGTTGATTCTTTAATTAAATTTAATAAAAAATAATTTTTCTCTTTATTACATGATTATATATCATTTATTTAATAACATAAAAGAATTTAAATGTAAATTTGTACCCAATTTTTCAAATATTATCTTCATATAAATATTAAGACTAATATCAAAGTTTGTGTGTAGCATACAATAATCAAATTAAAGTTTAGAATAATATGCAAGTGCAGTTATATGTCTTTACACGTAGTATTAAGCGCAAATTAAATTAAATTAAATTATCTCTACTATATTATTGGCAAGACAGATTTACGTTAGTGTCCACGCTACAGCTATCTTATCTTTTAAAGTCAAGGCTTGCTATCATTTTTGTATTACCTTTCTTTGACTGGAATTGCTCGCAAAAATTCTTCTAACTGAATTAAATAATAGGAACAATAAATATTATTGAAATGGGAAAAACACCCTTATAATTAATTATCCTAACAACTCTACTGTGCTGACTATTGCAAACCACGAAGCACATTACTTTAAAATATATCATCTTTTATTTTAAATTCTCATTTGGTTTACACTAATTAACTGTATGCATACAAAAACCTATATTTATTAAACGCGCGTGATGGGATATATATATATATATATATATATAAACCATGTGTCACAATATTATGGATAACTAAAGAAATTAATTGACACGTAACTATTAACTATGGATGAGGTTTGTTGCTGTTTCAGCCGACACTCAATGATGCATGCATACGTTACTGCAGCCAATTTTATATAATCAAATAAGGCTGTGTTTGTTTAGTTTTCATTGCAGCAAAAAATAATGGATATTTAGATTACAATAACAAAACCTTATAATGTATCCTTCGAAAAGAGTCGGAGCCCTTCCATATTATGCTGACATTAATGATTATTGTTTAGTTAATTATTGATGACGAAACTACGTGGATGACACCTTATATATCTAAGCAGAAAAGGTGTTTTTCTTGTTGATTTTGAATTTTCTTTTATGAAGAAAAAGAGATAGCAGAGTACAGCTGAGAGAGAGGAAAGAAAAAGTGGTGATTGATGTTTTTTCACGTGTAAGTACGTAATATTTTTTTAACTCGCTTCCCTTTCTTTTCTTGTCAAATTTTCGCTTACTGATTTAACGTTTTATTCCATTTGTGTTCCATAAAAGACCAAAGCAGTATTTCATTACAAAGCAATGGAGCCTAGACACGTGCCATCAAGATTAACATCAATGAAGAAAAATATTTAAGAAAGGGATTTCATTACAATATTTTTTTTTTGCCGAAAAAGAAAAAGAAAAAGAAACAGAGAGCCCAAACAGGCATGGTTGCAAAAAGTGATGTCTGCTAAGGTCCGTGAAAGAGTGAAGAAGAGTTTGTTTTCTTTATTTATTTTTACAGTTTCCACAGACCACAGTGGCGTGCACTGCAAAGCCTCCTATTCCACTTTGACTGTAACTCGTGAATTATTCATTCCAAATTGGCGAATTAGTACTCGTTTGTATACTTCTTTTTTTCTTAAATATATTTGATCACTATCTTTTTCTTTTTTCTTTTATTTTTTATTAAAACTAAAAAAGACAAAAATTTTAAAACAAACTAAAGAGTTATGTAAGTTTTTTGTTGTTGTTGAGATTTAATGAAGCAATAGATGAGCATTATTTCTATGGAATATAAAATATTGGAGATTAGATAATATTAAAATATTGTATTTATTATTTAACTCATAATCTGATATTATTAATTTTTTATGATGTATCACTCTTTTGTTGATCATCCGTTTATTATAAACCAAATCTTCGTTATATTTAAGCAAGAGACATGATTAATTAAAAAATAATAATATTATATTTTTCATTGAAAAAAAAGTAGTTGAGAATAAAAGAAAGGTGATAAATGATTTAATTTCGTATATAGAGATACATTATTATTTCATTTCAAAAAATGTTACGCATTTAAAGATATAATCCATATTCTTGCACGGTAAATTTTTTATGTAATATACGTATCATTTTAACTTTTGCTAATGATTAGGATATTTTTCTTTTAGGGAACATGTATGTGAATCTTACATAAGAATCAATACGTAGAAAAGAAGGTATTATTCTAGTGAATAATGAGGGTAAGAATAATTCTATTATCACACCATATTTCTAATTTCTACAGTTTGGGAGAGAAGAAATGAGAGATAAAAATAATGTGATAGAAATAAAGAAAAAACAAAAATGATAAAAAGTGTTTATAAGATTATTCTTTGTAAATATAACATTACGCTCTAAAGAACAATATTCACATATTGTGGTTAATGTGCAAATTTGTAAGAGCATATACGTGAAATTATCGTTTATTTATATTTTTTCTTTCAAGCTATGCGTGTAAATATTGACTGAAAAGATTAATATGATACACTAAATAAGATATTTTCAAAAGAGTAGTTATTTTTACAAATATTTCTCACAATAATATTTATATTAAAAAAACATAAGGATCAAGATGAGAGAGAAGTGTATGACAAAATGGATGATTTAATATAAAGAGCTAGATTATTATTCTTTCTAAAAACAACTTGTGATAGTATTTGATTTCACCTGTTTTAAAACATTGAAGAAGATTTTCTTCCGGTGTAATCTACTCAATTTTTTTATTCAAAAAAACTTATGAATCAGTCACTATCTTTTAAATAAATTGCGAATATTAACACATGCACCCAAAGATGCTACCCAAAATTATTTCTGATGCTCTACTTCTAATAATAAAAACGTGTGGCAGAAAACTAGCGAATTAATTAATGGTAACATAGCAAAACTCAGATGAATATTAACAGATGCTAATGGGTGGTAGGTTTCGTGGGATTGCTATGGTTGGAAGATTAGCACCACAACACCTTGATGCTGGTGTTTTAGTGTAAGCACTGAAACAACAATGCAAACAATGAACAAGCAACGAATTTTCATTATCTTTCTATGAACTTATAATGCCCTTAAGATTTTAATTGAAGCTCCGCCACTGGTTTCTATAATGTATTCATGAAATGAACGTTAAATGATGATGATGATTGATGCGGATAAGACCCAAATAATACTTCTGCAACAGTGAATATATATTTTTATTCTTACAACAAAATGCAGCAATTTTGATAGGGTAACTTCATGAATTGTCGAGCTCTCTAGGCTATCTTGCCTGAGCCTGCATGGCATCTTCATAATCAACTTGCCAATAAGTGGGGCACAATATATCTTAGCTGGTTAAGATTCGATTTTGTTCATCATCACATTTTCATCAATTAGTTTATTAGATATTATATAATAGCACATCTTGCGCAATACAAGTAGCATTTCTCTTTGTTGTATAATATAATAAACAAATAGCATGGTCCTTTTACAACTTTTGAATAGTCAACCTAAGGACATATTCTTTAATCGTAAGCAGCCAAACAAACGTCGACCCTACAATTTCAATAATGACAAATGCATGGAAGCTAATGTTCTGATAAAGTTCATTTCACCATACCTTGTGTTTCCCAAATTACAAAATATAAAACAAGTTGTTATTAATTTACAAAATTTATCCCATTCAATCAGTCAATTCAATCCACATTTTCCTGACTTAGAGTAATGTTTTGTGCCATGCACTAATTTGTCTAGTTCTTTATGATTAGGTGAGCATGAGTTGCCATCTCACACACCCTCTTTGCGTCACACTTTCTCTCTATATATTGTAGCGTGTTCCCTCCATGCTCTCTAAGACCATCCATCTTTACTTGGCAAAATGGCACTTTCTTCTTCTCGATATTCTCCCTTCTCATCTTCATCTTCAACAACCATTTTCTCTACAGCTTTGTGCATGTTTTTGCTTATCGGGAGTTCTTCGGCTCAACTCTCTGAGAACTTCTATGCTAAGAAATGTCCCAAGGTTTTCTATGCTGTAAAATCAGTTGTTCAATCTGCTGTGGCTAAAGAACCTCGCATGGGAGCATCTCTCCTTCGCCTCTTCTTTCATGACTGCTTTGTCAATGTAAATTATTCCTAACCTAAGTTCTAAAGTTTTTTATTACTTTTGTTTAGTTATATAGGCTAACTTATGATTAGATCATTTTTTAATAAATACTTATGAAAAAAGAAATAAAAAATTTAATAAATTTAGTTTTAAAAAATATATAATTAAGTTACACATTTTAACTTTAAAAAATGTTAAATAAAAAAGCTTTATTAAAAAATGAAATACATAAGTTAATGTTAATTTATAAAAAGAAATTCATTTTTTTTCTTGAATAAATATTTTTTGATAGTTTATCTAAACTGATCGTACCATATACTATTATCGAGAGAAGTTCTTTTTAGCATCCAATGGGCTAGATCATGTGATCATAAATCGAAACAAAACATTTTTTCAATGTTGAGATTTCACATCGTTCACATAATATTTCTTCCTCTAAGAATGTTACACGTCTTATTAAATTTCAAGTGTTTAATAGTGTAATATTATGCTCTTTACATGTTATGTTCTAGACCATATTTATACGTATTTTCCTTTCTTTATAAGTTTCTATCTCTTTCAACATGTCTAATTGGGTGATGTGACCTCGCCAATAATGACACCTTTCAAGCATAATAAAAAAAATGAAGTAAAAATATTCTTATCCAAATGCTTCCATGGTCATACATGCACCACTTCTTTTCAGGACACGTTTTTCGGCCCTAAGAGCATAGGTCCGAATATCTAGTAGAATGAATTTAATAATATATTTAAATATTCTTAGTCGAATTTGAGTCATCATATAATATTACACTGTATTTAAAACAAATTAAGTATTTTATATACAAGTAAAATCTTTCTTATATATTCGTACTGCCATTTTTATTTTCATTAATTTACTTTGCACAATACATTAATTTGACACAATACACATAACGATGCCAATTAATATACCATTTAAGCAAAAGACTGAATGACAAAATGTCTCATTGCCCCTTGATATACATTGATTTTATTTTGTCTTAAGAATGAATACTTTCAACTTGTTCAATTATCCACATACTTGCTAATACTTTATATACAGTTATCCGCATGTTCCTCCTAAGTAATATTTTATGCCTATCAATTGGATTTCAGTAGAGTCACCATCTTGTTGAAGTGATTTTCAGTGTCCAACTTACCACTATTTGTTGTTACATAATTGGAAACAGGGTTGTGATGGATCAGTACTGCTTGATGACACTTCCTCCTCCAAAGGAGAGAAGACTGCACCACCCAACAATAAATCTTTGAGAGGTTTTGAGGTCATCGATGCCATCAAGTCTAAGGTGGAGGCTGTATGCCCCGGAGTAGTGTCTTGTGCTGATGTTGTAGCTATTGCTGCTCGTGACTCTGTTGCAATTGTGAGTCAAAACCAATATATTCATATACATACACACACGTGTATATGTTTATGTAATTATATAATAAACATTGAATTTCAGGACTATTTCTGAACAAATTCGAAAAAACTGGTTTCTTTCACAAAAGGGTCTTCTTATATATAACTTTTTTAAGTGATACCGTGCCTATCAACTGACTTTTAAACTTAAATCATTTATGTATAATTGTACAGTTTAAATTTTAAAAGTATGTCTTAAAATATAAACTATTCTCACTAAATAGATATATAACATTGATTTATTCTTCTGGTTTATTGATTCAATTTTATCATGCAGCTTGGAGGGCCTTTTTGGAAGGTTAAACTTGGAAGAAGGGATTCCAAGACAGCCAGTTTCAAGGATGCAAGCAGTGGTGTGATCCCATCTCCCTTTTCTACCCTAAGCAACCTTATCTCAAGGTTTCAAGCTCAAGGGCTCTCTGCCAAGGACATGGTTGCCCTGTCTGGTATATGTCCTTTTCTCTTTTTCTAGCTTGGCTTTTATCTATCTTCTTTCATCCATTATGGGACAGTCTTTGTTGTTACTAATATATTATTGAAATAATATATTTTGAAGATGGGCCGACTCTTTACAATCGAGTGGCTTTTCCTTAATAATTTAATTTCGTTATTAAAATAACTAAAAATTAATATTGTATATTTTTTTATCTTTATTATCTTACTTATTTCTTTTTCTATATCCACATTTATCTCTAAAAATAATACATCTTAATCAAAAAAATATAAAAAAGCCACTTTTAATAGTTCAAGAAACATCGTCCTTCATCATTTCAACACATATGGTGGATTCTGTGAACTTGGATGTGACATTTGAACAACCACGTACATTGCATGTCGTGTATTTCTCTCAGCTATAAGCCATGTGATTGCTAAACAGAAAGAGTAAAGTGAAAAGACAAGCATGTTTAATTAACTAGGAAAATATAAGAACTATTGATTGGCCATGTTTGAATGTTTCCACAGTCAAAAACAAGAAACAAAGAAATAAAGCACACCATTTATATATCATTTTCAGCTTGCAGCCTATCACTCTGCCTTGAGTGTTTCATTATTTGTATATTCATGTTACGTATTCAATTTATACACTAGATTAATAAATATACTTATTATTTGACCAGTATTATGTGGTGAAATTCAAACATAAAAAATTGTTATCAAATTTATTAGTGCATGATCAATTGTACTATACTCTATTTATAAAAAAGAAATGTTCAACTAGGTTCAATTATCTTTCATATTTAGTGTCTAGTTAAACATTTTATGTCACAAATGTTCTTGAGATTAGAGTACTCCTATTTATTTGATGTTTCCTTTGTGGTTTCAGGAGCCCACACAATTGGGAAAGCAAGGTGTGTTACTTTCAGAGATCGTGTATACAATGACACAAACATTAACAGTTTATTTGCTAATGCAAGGAGGAGGAACTGTCCAAGGATTAGTGGCTCAATAAAAGACAATAATGTAGCAGTGCTAGACTTCAAAACTCCAAACCATTTTGACAACAACTATTACAAGAACCTCATTAGCAAAAAGGGTCTCCTTCATTCTGATCAAGTACTCTTCAATGGAGGATCTACTGATTCATTGGTTAGAGCTTACAGCAATAATCCAAGGGCCTTTGCATCTGACTTTGTTACAGCAATGATTAAGATGGGAAACATAAAACCTTTGACTGGGTCAAAAGGAGAGATTAGAAGGCACTGTAGGAGAGCCAATTAGAGGGCATAAAACAAATGGATTATAAATTATGTGTGTTTATGTGGGTATGTTTTTTTATTGATACATGTACCCCAAAAAAGGGGAGGGGGGGGGGGGGGGGGCGCTCTTTTGTGAGTTGATCCTTTGAGGTGTTTTCTAGCGCCTTGAAAAATTGTCTTGTTGTTAAGTTCAATTTGAATTTAATTGTAGTTATTGTAAGGAAATAATTACAAAGCATGTTTTTGACGTGTATTGTCTCTTTAAGGATGTCTTGTTAGGCCTACAACAGTTGTAATGATTCCAAAAAAATGTAATACAGTGTAAGTAGATTATTGTTTCTTGTAAGAATTAATTTTAATATGTATTAGTTTACTGATTTAAATTAATTTGAAGTTATTAAAATTGAAGAGGATTATAAATTTAATAATTAAATGACTAAAGAAAAAACGAAATAAAAAATGTAATTAAATAAATAATTTAATTTAAATATACAAATAGAGTAAAAAATTTACACTGACATCTATTCAAAAATTGTTATATGATCATAAAAACTTGTTAATTTTTAATAATTAATATAAAAATGTATCTATGGTATATTCTTGAGAGTGTAAAAAAATTTACATTAATAGGCACCAAAGTTATTGTGATTAGATTTCACCAAATTGCCATTTGAGATATCAATATTTATTTAACTAAGCAATTTATTTATGATTTAAAATTGAATTCTATTAAAATAACTCATCTAATACACAATTAATACCTTAATTGAAATTATATAAAAAAGATTGATGAGGTTCAAACAATTCACAAGATTAGAAAACTATTGAATTATATAGTCATTAATTCAAAGGATAAGGCAATTAAATAAGAAGTACAATTCACCTTATATTTTTTAAATTTACAAGTAGGAATAGAAATAAATTAGATTGAAAGTTAAATAAACCTGACTTACTATATAAAATTAAAGTCTAAACTTAGGCCTATAACCTAATATAGGTCAAATTTTTAGGTTTGATTATATTTTTTTAGAAACTTAATCTGGCTCAATAGTCTATTTTAGTAGCCTATTTAATAATAAAGTCTTCAAATAATACTAATAATTTAAATTTAATGGATCATTAGGCAAATAAACTAGTAACTAATGAGCTAACAAGCCAAAAAGTCTATTATTAGTAAAATACAAAATATATGATAAATAATTATATTTAAATATTATGTTTAGCAAAAAAAATAATACATAAATAGCTTCATAAATGTCAAGTTAACAATTAAGATATTTATTATTAAAAAAAATAAAAAAATGAGACTATAAAAAATGAGACTAAAACGTATAACTCAATAAATAATTATCAGTCATTGAGCAAGATATCAAATCTTCAATGTGATTACTTCAAGTTGTGCATTTATCTTAAATATTCTAATAATATAATTATAATTATTATATTATTAAAATATAAATACTAAATTATGTTATACATTACATATTTTATATATATATATATATATATATATATATTATTTTTCTGAACAATTATATTTATTTTAAATTGTTAGAAATAAATATAAATTATAAAATAATATAATTATTTAATTGAGCTGATCTAATAAATCTGAAAAAAAATTTAAAAGTTTAAGTCTGACCTTTTTATTTAAATAAGTCTTTTCAAAAGTTTAAACTTAAACTTTTTAATAAATAAATCAAGACAAATTATATATTAAATAAGTTAGACTATAAGTTTTCGACGAGCGGCTTAATCCATTCCTATCCCTATTGACAAGAGTATCCATCAATTCAATTTATGACCAGCTATACTTCCTACAAAACTACAAACATTAAATAAAAGTTGATTTGCTAAACCTAAAATAAGAACTTAATAAGAGCATAGGTCAATCACATCACAGTCTAATACTAATCCATCAAACTGTAGCTAAAATAATTTAGCAATACATGACAAAACTGCAAGAAAAAAAAAAAAACTCGTTCACGAACCTCATTTCTTAAAGTCCTAAATCCTTAGGTGCAATTATATGCTGTTTTTTTCGTCTCCCTTGCTAGGAGGTTAATGTAAAACAAACTATTTATAGTGCTTGTAGAAGTGTTAGACATAAGTTACTTAACATTCATTATTTAATGTCTGAGGGATTGTTTAGGAAAAGAAATTTTGGAGGGAAGATGAGGGGTGGATAACTTTCTATTTTAAATAAAAGAATTTGAATTTAATATTTAAAAAAATTAAAAATTAAAGGAATAAAATGATAAATTAATATAATATGATGTATTGATTATTTATTATCAGAAAGAAAGGATACATAATTCTATTGATTTAAAAGTAAAAAAATTGCTCCCCTCCAAAGAAGAATCCTAAGTGGATTTATAGAGACAACACATTTAGGTTGTCAATTACTATTTAGGGTTGGAGCACACTTAGGATGAATCAATCCTATATTTTAAAAAAAGAAGACAGATTTGTACGATTTCTCTTCTTGGCAGGACAGGATATCAATTCCGATTTGTATAATATTGGGTCTTGCGATTGGAAATTTTTAAAACCAAGTCCAATTAATAATATATTTTTTTAATACTTTATTTTGATTATTATATTTTTCATTTTTTTTCCAAATAGAATTTCTTTTGAAAATAGAAATATACCTTGATCTAATGATCCACTCGAATTTGAGTTTTATTGAGTTGCTTTCCTAAACATGAATTGAGCCAATTCAAACGTTCTCAGTTGATATTACAGAATAGCTTATTTTTCACGATTTAAAGAAATAGCTTATTTCCTGCTTCATTTTTCAAACTATATCAAATTGATGAAAATGGGTTATTATACATCCAAAATAATTTGAATTAAAACGCATTTAATTGATATGAACTCTTCCCAAACCAAATTGAATAGAGAGAAAGACCACATTAAAAAACAAATACTATTTGATTGAAGAGAAAGTACGAAAGTAGAAAAAACTCTAAAATCATAATTTTATATTTATTTTAATTTTTTTAAGTTTTCTTTTCATTTCAAACGAGCGTCGATAGTCATCACATTTAAAATTCACAGGAGAAAATATTAGGTACACATGTAGTACACTACAATGCCTTTGCATCTTTGTGGAGAAAATGAAATGATAAATAAATATTCACGTGATAAAAAATTAAGATACTCTGTATGCTTGATGGACCCAAAACTCAATAGAGAATGTAATTAGATGCAAGGAATATAGAATTTGGTCACAAAAAACAAACGCCCAACTCTATCAGAGTATCAACCATTCCTTCTAGAAAAGAAGTCCATCAAACATTGTGCAATAATATATGGCAACAACTTTGCATAGCTACGAGATGGTTGCTTGTTATTCTACCATCCAAAGATGAAGACAATATCCACATCCCTATCTCATTGAAAGGGACAGTTAAGAGATCACCAATTAAACCAAATACAAGTATTTGTCCACAAAAGCTTGGCCTTAGCTCAGGAACAAAACCCAGAAGTTTTTGTTTCTTAAACAAGAGTTAGACTAAAAGTATAATTTTTCTTCACATCAAAGAGGGGTTAACACAAGGACAATCAATCCTCCTCCTCACATGTTTTCCCCCATTACTAGCATGAGTGAACATAAAAAAATACCCTTTTATACATATTATGTGCACTATGTAATGTATAAATCAGCGGTGTCTTGTAAGAGTTAATTCAAAACCTTTGGATGGGTCAAGACGTTGGGAATCTGAGATCAAGCCCTTCCAGCACTACCATGTCTTTGGCTTCTAAATTGATTAAGGAGGGCCAGGGCCTAAATAGAGAAATAAAACGGTAACTATGTAACAATACAAAATAAAATAGAAAGAGAAAACTAAATTATGAAACCATAAAGAATCCATACCTTTTCTTTGGCCCTTGGGGTGCCTGATTGTGACAATGCTACTAAAGGGGGCACAGCTCCTTCTTGCAGCACCATGTTTAAATATCTGTGATTATCTGAGCATAGATGTAAAAGAGCTGCAGCTGCGTTCTCTCTTCCTCTCGCAGAACCCAACTCAATGACCTCAACCAAAACAGGAATCCCACCTTCCTGACCAATTGCTGTCTTCCCTTCTGGTATTGTGGCAAGATTTGCTAAAACAGCCACTGCCTTATCAACCATTCCAGCTGCAGGGTCCATTAACTCTACAAGATGCTTCACAGCACCGGCTTGCACAATCCTATCCTTGTTTTCATGAAATATTGACAAATTAAACAAAGCAGTAGCAGCATCTTTCTTCCCCCTAGGAGTTCCATTCCCTAATAAATCAACCAGTGGTGTAATTGCCCCAGACCTCCCTATCTTGATTTTGTTTTCCTCAATAACCGATAAGCTGAAAAGTGTGGCAGCTGAGTTCTCCTTGGCTTCTGGACTCCCTGTCTTAAGGACATAAATCAAAGGTTCAATGGCACCAGCATTTGCAATTGTAATTTTGTTGTTATCATTGATTGATAAGTTAAGGAGTGTTGTAACAGAATTTTCCTGGATTGCAATATCAGTTGATTGAAGTAAATCAACTAATAAGCTAATGGCACCAAAATTTGAAATCACTATTCTATTATCCATATTGTACTTAGCAAGAAGGCGGAGTTCTGCTGTTGCATCTCTCTTAGTATCAAGAGAATTGCTCTTTAACTGTTCTACTAATTTCTGAACCTGGGTTTCAGCAGCAGATAGATCAGCTCTTGTTTCAATAGAAGGAATAGATACCATGCTATGAGCAAACCACTCAGACGACCGTTGCCTTACAGTTTGGCGTTGAGACCTTGGCACCACCAATTGGCGTGAAAACTCAGGTTCTTTGCGCTGAGTTGACATGGCAACAGCATCTGGCCCTGAATTTAATTCCCCAGAAGGATCTCGACTGTGGACTGAACTGGATGACAGCACAGTAGCATCATTGTTATCACCTTGTGTGCTTTGAGTAAAATTTGCACTGGACAGTGCACTGGGATCAGAGGCAATTCTAACATGGGTTTGAGATTGTTCTGAGCTGAATGTGTTGGAAGATTCCCTTCTAGATGGTGAAAATGATAGGCCAACTGAATCCACACTTCCTTCATCTGAGCTGGCAGACCCATCATCTGAAACTGTGGGTGATATCCTTTCAAAACCCACATGCTGCCCATTAACCATGCCATTTAAGGAACCTTCAGGAGTTGAATGGGGATGCAATGTTGATGTTTGTTCTTGTTGGATTCCACCAAAAGAAGTTATAACAGGCAATTCCTTGGTCAAACCTGACTCCACAGACCCATGCAAGGGAGATGGTTGATTTAAGTTTGTGGACTTAATGGGATCAACAAGCTTCACATTGTTTGTTTCACACCAGTTTGCAATTAATGCCTTTACAGTGTAATTAGGTATTAGGTTGGTGTGAGCCAGAGTCTGACGTGTCTTTGGACAAACAGTAAGCCCAAGATCAATCCATTTTTTTATGAAAGTCCGCTCATAGGTTTGCCCTGATGCTACAATGACTGGATCTGTCATCAACTCCAAAGAGAGAGGACAGCAAAAATCAGCAGGTACCAACACTGGGATAGAGCTCTGAGCTTGCTTTAGCATAACAAGACGCTGATGCATATGATTTACAACAGATATCATTTGATCAATATATTCAACTTCTGCAGTCTTTTCCATTTGTTCAGCATTCTCCTTCAATTTTTCAAGGGCTACAACCTCAATCAGAACCTCTCGATTAGACCGTAGGCTGAGTTCCTCAGCAATTTTCTCCAGGACCTCCGAACTTGGTCCTGCACCTTCCAGTTGTTCCATAATAGCTTCTTTAATGGCTGATGAGGTTTCATGTCCCAAATTATCAGGGAGACATTGTGGTGATTCCTTCAGCTGTTGTAAAATACTGAGCCCCAAAGCCTGAATTCTTAATATCAAGGAATCAACTTGCATAACCTAGTGATTAAGAAAGAGGAAAGAATGAGAACCAACACATACTTAACATCCAAGAATTAAGCCAAACAACATCTATGGTATGCACGCCTGAAAAGACAAGATAACTACTATATTAATTATACTTCTATACCAGATGACAATCCAAGTCAAGCAAATATACTAGCACATTGTTCACCTCTAACCTCATCACATTTGTCTCACCAAGGCATACAAGGGTAATGCTAAATAGAAAACAATAAAAAAAAACTAGAACTTGGGGGTGAACATCTAGTACAAAGCAAAAGCATTAAGCACTGAGTGAAACATGAACAAATGATGTAGAAAGAAGAGGAGCAGAAGAGCAAAGAAGATGAGAGAAAGGAAGTGACAGATGGAGACAGAAGATGAAAAATCACACTAATACTTGGCTGCACTACTGTGTTCCTCCATACAGGACACCTATAGAAAGTATGATCATGTAGTCTGCAACAGAAACATAGAGAAAGATATTTTTGTCCTAAAATTAGATGGAGACCTTAACTTAGCAAATGACAAAGACTGTAATAATATGATATATATATATATATATACACACACACACATGATATAGTTTTGAGAGCTAAAATAGGGTGGAAAATGGGTTAAATTAAACCCCCAGTTCAATATAGACACATAATGAGACATACAAAGTAAGATTTGCTAGATATTGGATGCCAGTTCTCAATAAGATCCCTCAACTCATCGACAGCCAGTCCAAGTTCCTCGAATAGCTTACTAAGCACTTCATCAGTAGCTAAATCAGACAAAACAGTGGTATCAACAATTGACTGCAAGAATTTAAGAATCCTCTCTGCCTTTTGATAATACTTTGATACAGGTTCTAATTTCATTTTTCCAGAAAAAGATAAGTGCAAAAATGAGGATATCGCATTGGATAGCACCTTTAACAAAGATATCTCCATAAGACCTGCACCAGTAACAAAAAAAACTTGTTCAAATGTATGTCATGAGGAAACCAGAAACTAAAAACAGAGAAAAGAATTATTTTATTTCTCGATTGAAAATGAACAAGACAAGGAGAATGATCTCTCCTCTAAGATTTCCTCTCTCAAGGACAGAGCTAATGTTCAATTCTCAATTGATACAAAACAGAATACCACTCCCTTCTGCTCCTCCTATTTAAAGCTAAATCCCTGTCCTTCCATCCTCTCTAACTAACAAATTAATGGTTCTAACTTCTAACTATTTATTGTGACTAACTTGTAACTAACTATTGGTTTTTGGAATCCTTAACACATGCAGATCTGAAAGGACAAGCATATAGCTCCAGATATTGCATTATATAGGATAGAATAAGATTTGAGGAAGCTATAAGACCTGATTTTATAAGAAACTGGTAAGCTTTTATATTATAGGACTGCATAGAGAATTGCACAAATGGATAAAATTAAAGAGGAAAAAATAAATCAGTATGATACTAACAGAAGACAAAATAGCCAATGAAGACGTGAAAAGAATTCAATGAAAATGGGACTATCAATGCACAAGATTGCCTCTCTGAAAGATTGCAAATGTAGCTTGGGTTAAATGGACCATTCAGTTTTTTACAAACATTGGAGATCATAAAAAAAAATCATAATGTTTTTTCCTAATCTGAAAATTGAAAAAACAAGCGCATAAATCCATCTGTGCAAAAGATTTTTCTTGGTTCTCCTCAACCTCTATTTATAACCTATCTTACATCCAATCAAGTTTTCTTACTTGAAGCAATTATTGGTCTTCTCTACACCAAACGTAGGCAAGATACTATCATCTTTTCCTTTCCTCAGTAAGTGCTATACCTACTTGAGTACTTGACCCAATGGATTCTTGTTTGATCTTGTCTAAATCATCTATCCATATCGTAAATATTTAACCAAGTTCTATCTTAGCTATCAATTACATAATACAACCCTCCCCTTTTACTAAGGCTTGGAGCTGGCTCTGTTATCATTGGCAAACATACTCAATTCAACTCAATGAAAAAAGAAGAAAAGAAAATGAGCCCGCAGCATGGTCAACTGAGGAATCCAATCAAGTAATTGGGTGTATCAAATTAAACACAAATTGACTCCACATGACTGAAAACCAATTTACTTGATCTCGAACACAAGCACATTGCAATCAAGAATATTACAAAGTCAATCAAAAGTTCAGAGTTTCAAGCAGATAAACATAACACCAGCAGAGAAATCCAAGACCAAAACATCGATAAATGCTACAAGAAATTAGTAAGCAATAACCAACACAAAGCAAATGCAACAAGCCAGCAACATATGGTGAAGAAGCAGAACCTGAAACTTAACAGAACCACATACCCTTTGTTAAAAAAATGTAACTTTCTGCTAAATGAAAGTACCAACTAATGAAATAAGGTGTCAAACTAAAAAATTAAACAAAAAAATAAATAATTGAGCAAGTCTTGAAATATGGGTTTTACCAAAAGGAGGGGATTGAAAGATAAAGAGCTATGGTTAATGATTCCCAGTTGATTGTGAGAGAAAGGAGGGTAAACACCACCGTTCAAAAGGTTTTCCGGCAACCGTTGGAATGGGAGGAGCTGGAAGCCGCGTGGTGATGCTAAAATAAAAGTGGAAGATTGGGGAACTTTTAACCTATGGTTTGACTTCTATAAAATAAAACGTTGAAATGAACTCATTATAGTATTAATTTAATCTCTTACAGCTTTGAATTTTCTTTCCAAGGAGGTGATTTATTACTGAGTATGAAGCCCTTGAATTCCCTCAACTTCGGTCATGTTGCGGAACTTGTTATTAATTAATTAGGCAAATAATATGCAGTCAAAGTTGTTAAATTTGAATAGGGGTTTGAATTTGACCAGAATGACAATATCTTTATACTCTTTCATTCAATAAATTTCCAAAATAGTTTTCGATCAGTAGTCATAGTTAATTTTTTTAATTACGTACAAGTTTTATGTAAACATCATTTATTTAAATACTTAAATAAAAATTGAGGCCACAATACATTCACATATATAAGATAAATTTATTTAACAAAAATTCTTTGAACCTATAATGTATAACAAAAAAAAATCAAATATTTGACATTGATAAAATCGTATGAGCTGTATTAAAAATTTAAGAATACTACATATATTTTTAAAAAATTATAACTTTTTATTTGATCTCTCATTTAAAAAAATAATTTTCTAATTTTTTTAATTTTATTATTATTTATCTATATAATATTGAATTTAATTTATATTTTTACATTTTAATTTCATATTTTTAATTATATAATTTAAGATTTATTTAAAAATATGAATAGTATAATATTATTAATAACACGTCATGTTAAAGTTACATAAATAAGTTAATAGATCATTTACAATAAACTAAAAAAAATATAATCTTTAAGAAACTAGATTAAAAAAATTAAAAGAAAAGATCAAATGAAAAGATTAGAAATTTTTAGAAAAGTAAAATATTTAAACTTTTAAAAAATTATAAAACCTCACTAATTAAATGGTTGTTTGATCTTTTCCTTCAAACACGGCAAGTGTAAGTAATAACCGGTAGAGTACCGGAATATCGTCCTCAGAGAGCAATTCATATGTATTAATTACTAAGATACAAATTAATTGAGCTTATATACAATAAAATTAGTAAATGATTTTCATGAAATATTAAACAGCAATTAAAATGTAAAGTATGAAAGTAAAATATGGTAAAATTCAAGTTAAAAAAGCTGAGATTGAATTTTATTTATCTCACTCTCTATATACTTGTAATCCAGTGATAAATATAGCATCCATTTCCAATAAATATGATGCAAAATACGAAAGTTATATATTTCAATTCTTTGAAAATATATTCCTACGATAATTTCTCAAATGTTGATTCCTCAAATAGTTAATAAACTATCCAGTATTAAAGTCACGATTTAAAAGCAATCAACAACTTGAAATCTATTCCTAGAACAACCAGTTATTGAGTAATCTCAATCAGATCTAGATCTAAATAATATCTTCCCAAATACAATGCATATCTGAACTCCAGAAACCGTTAAATAACTAGATTCAACCATTAAAATGGATTGAGATCACCAAATCATTAGAAATGAAGAAGAAACAGCTATATTTATATAGATTACTGATAATACATCAGGTTTGAAGATTTACATTCAATCTTATACAAGGTTTAGCTGCTCATGACAACCATATCAACAAAAAATAGATATACAAAAGGGAGAAAACATCAAAAATCGAGTATTCTTACTCTCTTTCTTTGCCTTGCGCCGTTCTGGACCTCTGAAAATGGTTTTGGAACAATAACCCCAACTTGAACATAAAAATTACCTTTTATACTGGTCTGCTCGAGCTTCTCTTGCTACAACGACATGGCCTTGCTGTAGCGAGAAATAGAAATATAAATTAGGTCATTCTGTTTTTTTCTCGCTGCAGCGTTAACTCTTGCTAGAGCGACACAAAAGTCTCTCGCTATAGCAACCACTTCCCGCTGTAGCGATATGATAACAGATTCACCATTTTTTCAGTACGCATTCTCACTGCAACGAGTATTTCTCGCTGTAGCGAAAAACCTCCAAAAGCTGACTTTTCTGCAACTTTATGCTTCAATTACTCCTCCCCTATCTTTTTCTAATCTTTTCAACCTTAAGTGATGTTTCTTTTGATTCCAGCTACAAAATAGATCAAAAAGAGATTAAAATACTAAAATTGCATTTATTTCTAAAAATATATATGTATTTGTAAAAGTTTCAAGTTTGAAGGTAATTTAACAAACTAATCCAACTTTTAACATAAAAGTGTTCAAGTTACCATCTCAAACCACTTATTTTATACACTTATTAATGGTACATGTTTTGTTGGGCTTTCAGCCCCTTCCTTTAACAAAAAAAAAAAGAGTATATTTTTTTTTCTAAAAAGAATGCTTTCGTTACTCAAGCAAAGTAATTGAATGCACAAAAATATTTTACAAAAAAGAATTTTTGAAATTGATTTGAGATAAAATCAATCATAATTGCTTCCATGTTCATCATCTAAGATTTTTCAGAACTTTTCAACTAAAGGAATTTGTTCGTGATCAAGGATTTTGGTTATCAATTCAAAAGAATCAGGATATTAGTGCACTTCATTTTCAAGAAAATAAGAGTAACATCATTCAATAAGCAAAAGAAAAATCCTCTCATTCTCACAAATTTAGTGTTTCTATCAATCTCTTCAATGAATCCATCAAGTTTGACTTTGCTCTTACTTCCCATCAAACTAAGTACACACAAAAGACAAAGATCATAGGGCCTTTCAAAAAGGTTGCAATGTGGCTAGGAATACAAATAATTCATTGTTTTTCTGGAATTCAAAGTGAGTTAGAGCATTAATGCAATCAAGATCATCATCCATTAGTAAGTTTCCATCTCTATTTTTCCTCACTCTAATTAACACCACATTTTTATTAACCCTTGGATGTTTCCCTCTAATTTCAACATTTTTCTTTTCTTTTGTCATTGCTTCTTTTCTTTTACTAGAGGAAAACTTCAATCATTCATTTACCAACTCATATTTTTGCAAAAACAACATTTAAGACCTATCATGCCCTAATGCTCCTTCTCAAAGGTATGGAAAATAATAATTCTCATGAAAAGGCTTTAGGTACATACATTTTTCAAAAAAAAATTGCTTTTGGGCTCAAGGGCTTCCAAAGATTGGATAAATCCTGAATATGGGTTGGTTTTTTGGCTCTAGCTATAACAATGTATTTACAAACTATGTCCTAATCATCTCTATGACCAATTGTGCTTTATAGCAATTAGAAATTTGAACAAAGTTAACCGTCAAAATTCAGTGAAGTTTATTCACTTATTTACGACACTCTCACTTTCACTCCTTTGTTTGAAATGATTTTTCTTTGATTAAGATAAATGAATTGCTCAAATTTTCTGATTGATCATTTTCATGCACAAAAACATCCTAACTCTCTTTCACTTCAAACCTCAACTTTTCACATTCACAAAAACCTCTTTTTTTATAATAATTCCTAGATTCAGAACATGACTTGTCTGAGTATCTCCAAACCACTTTCCACAATTGAATGGTATTACTTCCAAAAACAAAACAAAAAAGAGTTTTTTAAATCATTTTCTAACAATAAAATTTTCAATAACTCCACCAAGTTGTACTCATCATGTAATTCTATACTATGTAACTATCATTGCATCCATTACTCATCAAAACATGTTCAAACCCACTAATAACCATATATACTTGAAATACCTAAATTTAAAGCACCAAATGAAATTAAACAATAGTCAAATACCACGTAAACACATATAAACAAAACAAAAATCTAAACAGTATCATAAAAGTGTCTGTTGAATTCTTTTCTTTCTCTGACAAAAATTTCTCTTTATTCCTCTTCTTCCATCTCAGCACCACTGTCTTCACCGTCATCTCCATTTCCATCTCCATCTTTATCAGCTGCTCCAGATGAGCCTGCCCCCTGGAAATGTGGCATGTCCCCAGGCCACTGCTGGTATGATTCAAATTCTTCTAAGCTCATCCATATGTGCTGGCCCGGATATTGTAGCTGAGCTTGATGGTGGTAAGCATGCTGCTGATGCATTTGGCCCCTGTGGATAACGGAATTCTGGAGAGCCAAATGATCTAGTTGGAGCTCTAGACGGTAGAGGCGGTCTGCAAATGCTGAGTCTTCCGGTCTGCTGGGTGTTTCCTAAAATGGTGGCTCTTCAGGCTAAGGTTGAGGTTGTGGCTGTGGTGGAGGAGGAGATGGTGGAGCTGCAGGCTGATCCTCTATGCAATGGTTCTGAATATAGGCTAGGGTTATGGGAAGCTTAATCGATTCTGCAAATTGAATGTCCCTCGCTCCCTGAGCCTGACATAATGCGGTAATCAACGTCGGATACCCAAGTGAACCACTCTCTCCCTTCTTAACCACAAATCTATAAATTTCATCTGTGATGATGCGAGCCACATCCATAGATCCTCCCCTCAATATGTTGTATAAAAGGTAACAGTACCTCATGGTCATGGATGAAGTGTGGGCTCTGGGGACTATGTTGTGGCATATGAATGTGGTCCACACTTGAGCTAAGGTGGTCATGTTCTTCCTGTAGATCTGCAAAGTCTTCACTTCAGGATTTGAAGTGTAACTCCTGTTTGCAATGCATAAGGCTTGAGCGGTGGCAGTATCACTGAATGGCTGAAAGCATGAAGTGAGCTTTGTATGAAAGAAATATGTTTCACCCTCCTTCGGCTGCAAAGGGTTACCCAAAAAGTTATTGATGGCATCTCTGGAATAATTAACCCAGACTCCTCTCACCCTAAACCTTGTATCGATCCTTCTTGAATTAAACTCTGGTTTAGTATTGGCATAAAACTCTTTAACGATTTCGGGGTCATAATATCCTCTTGGCTCAGCCAATATTCTCCATCTGCGCCTCTCAATTTCATTATTGAAGTCATCAAGCTCGCCTTCCTTCAAATCAATTCTCCTTTCCTCAATTATCAACCAATCCTGGATTTCCTTAAATTTGTCTCTGTCCTTATCTTTGAATTTCCTTGGATCGGATGGTGGTGGCTGTGAAGAGGAAGCTCCTTTTTGTTTCTTTGATGGAGGAGCTGGGTCTTTGTGAGCTCTAACTTTAA